ATCGAGAACCTGGGGGTGGAGTGTACACCTCGCTTTGGGTGTTGTAAATGTGGAAAATGTCCGCTCGGCGCGAAGAATTACAGTCTAAAGGAAGAGAAAGAGCTACATTTGATTGAGAGAAATCTACACTTCAATAACTATGAGCATAGAAGGATGACTCCATATCCATGGATAAGAGACCCGCCTGATATTCCAGACAATAGAAAGGCCGCATTCGGAATGCCATTGTCTACGGAAAAGAGACTTGCCAAGAATACTGACCACGCAAGAGTATATCAAGAGCAGATACAAGATATGATAGATAGGGGCGTTCCCCGAAAGCTAACGAAGAGCTAATTAGAAGCCTATGTTGGGCCCATTCATTATGTTTCGCATCATGAAGTTGTAAGTCCGGATTCAAAGTCCACGCCAGTACGAATAGACTTTAACACCAATGCCAAATACATGGTTCACGCGTTAAATGAATATTGGGCCAAGGGATCGGACCTTCTGAACAGCCTTCTGGGTGTGCTCATAAGGTTTAGAAAGAATGAGGTGGCGTTAATTGGCGATATAAAGAAAATGTACCATTCCGTGGGAACCACCCAGCTCGAACGGCACACGCATCGGTTTCTATGGAGAGACATGGACGCCAGGAAAGAGCCAGACACTTACGTCATATAGAGAGTCTCATTTGGCGATAGACCGTCGGGAACCATCGTAACAGTAGCATTGAGAAAGACGGCCGAAATGGCGCAAGAGAAGTACCCTCAAGAGGCCAAAATCATTAGAGACAACACCTACATGGACGACATCATTGAGAGTGTTGGTGATAGGGAGAGAGCCGAAAGCGTAACACAGAACATAGAGAAGCTGGTCGACATAGGGGGATTCAAGATTAAAGGCTGGACCATCTCGGGTAGCTCTGACAGCCGAAATGAGAAGGAGATACCCAGTGAAACGTATGCACCCGCAGAGAAAGTCTTGGGAGTTTGTTGGAGACCCGTCGAGGACCTGTTTTGCTTCAAGGTGACGCTGAATTTCTCCGGACGAAAGAGAAAGCTGCATACCGAGCCGGATATAGAATCCCATCAACTAACAGAGAGGTTTCCTGCGAAGTTGACAAAGCGAATGATTCTCTCCCAGATCGACAGCATCTATGATCCACTTGGATTGGCAGGTCCATTTACCGTTAGAGCGAAAATCATGATGAGAAAACTGTGGATGAGTGAAGCGGAGCAGCTTGGTTGGGACGATCCAGTGTCAGACGAATGCAGAGCAGACTGGAATACATTCTTTTCAGATTTATTTATCATGAACAATGTCAAGTTCGGTAGATGCCTTAAGGCCACAAATGCGGTTGGCGACCCAATGCTGGTGATCTTCATTAACGGATCAAATCGTGCTTATGGTGCGTGTGAATACGTCCGTTGGGCACTGAACGGTGGAGGGTTTGAAAGCAGATTAGCCATCTCTTAGAACCGACTCGCGCCAGTTAAGGCAATGTCCATTGACCGGATTGAGCTGTGAGGAGCCGTACTGAGCAAGCGTCTTAAAGAGCTTCTGGAGATAGAGTCGAGATATCGATTTACCAGGTGCTTGCACATTGTTGACTCACAAATAGTACACGCCATGGTCCAAAAGCAATCATATGGGTACAACACGTTTGCTGCAACACGCATTGGAGAGATTCAAAGCGGTACTAATCCCGAAGACTGGTGCTGGGTAGTTAGCGAGCAGAACATAGCCGACTGGCACACACGAGCCAAGGAGCCAAACGAAATCGACTTGAACAGCGCGTGGCAGAAGGGTCCAGATTTCTTGAAGTTGTCAGAGTCTGAGTGGCTTAATAGTAGGATCTGTGCCATACAAGAGCTTCCAAAGGAACCTAGGGTCGTAATGATAGCTAACACCAAGCCTAAAGACTCCTTAGCAGTCAGGGTTGACATAAGTAGATATTCGGATTATAGGAGGCTGGTTAGAGTAACGCCTAGAGTGCTTGCCATGTTCCGAACCGATTATGAGCCGAGCTTCAGAAATGATGCCGGAGTCCTTGAGCCGGCGGATGTTACTAAAGCGGAGCGATTCTGGATTCTCCAAGCCCAAGAAACTATGTTAAGTGACATGAAACGCGGACGATTTAGACGCTTGTGTCCAAGAGTTCCAGAGGATGGGATAATTGTCGTAGGAGTACGCGCAGAGAAATGGCTGGAGAAGTGCTACAATCAGCGCGAAGTTCCACTTCTACCGTTTAGGCATGAGTCATCTCGCTTGTACGCGAAGCAGATACACGAAGAAGGCCTTCAGGGAGTATCTGCTACGACAAGCAAAGTGAGATCAAGGTTCTGGGTCATCGGACTGCCTAAGATAGTGAAGTCAATTAAATACAACTGTGTAACTTGCAAGAAGCTGGACAAGAAGACTACGACGCAACAGATAGGACGGTTCCCCGAGGAAAGGCTTAAGCTAGCACCTGCATGGAATTGTACGGCAGTTGATTTATTTGGCCCCTTCAGGATTAGATGTGAAGTCCAGAAGCGAACCACAGGCAAAGCATATGGCGTCATCTTCAACTGCCTTAGCACGCGAGCAGACCATGTAGATTTGGCGCCTAATTACAGCACTGAGAAATTCTTGATGGTCTTACGGCGATTTGTGTCACTGAGAGGTTACCCAGCGAAAATGATTTCAGTTAATGGTACTCAGTTAACAGCGGCAAACGAGGGGCTCAAGAAAGTTGTGGCATCTTGGGATTAGGATGAGCTGGCCGCGTTCGGTGCGACGAAGGGAATGGAATGGAATGGAAATTTCTTCCGGCCGACGCGCCTTGGCAGAACGGGACCTCAGAGGCTCTTGTGAAGTCTGTGAAGAAGGCAATTACGGTAGCGGTCGGTAAGAAAGTGATGACCTCTGAGCTGCAAACAGTCTGCTATGAGGCAGCAAACCTGGTTAACGAAAGGCCAATTGGGGGGCATCCGACGTCACCCGAAGATGGGACTTACCTGTGCCCTAACGATCTCCTTTTAGGCCGATCCACCTCTAGGGTCCCTAGTGGTCCCTTTAGAGAGACAAGAAACCCAAATCACCGCTTTGAGTTCGTTCAGCAGATTGTAGACGCTTTCTGGAGAAAGTGGATTAGAGATTTCTTCCTAAGTCTGATTGTGCAGCACAAGTGGTATACAAAGAAGCGCAAAGTGAGGGTAGGTAATGTAGTGCTGATCCAGGATTCAAATCAGGTGCGAGGTAACTGGAAGCTCCGTAAAGTGTCCAAGGTTTACCCTGGAGATGATGCCAGAGTAAGGAAAGTGGACGTGGAATACAAGAACCCCAGACCAGCTTAGCCCGTCGACAAGTACGAAGGTAGGGGCTAGGTCACCGTGCAGAGAGCTGTTCACAGATTAATCGTGTTAGTTCCAATGAACGACACCGAGGGAGTCTCCGCTGAGCAGTAAGAAGGAATATCAGTTGTCCAAGCGCAGACGAGAGAACAAGTATAACGGTGACGACATAAGCTTCCCCAAGGCGTTTTGTGGGGGGAGTATTTCGCTGATACGTGCGAAAGTTCGTGACATTCCATATGCACGTGCTCGTTGAACCCATTAATATTTAGTATTCATAAATCGTACCTTTCAATAAGGCGAAATTGTGATTAATTCAAAGACATGAGTTGTAACTTGCAAGAGAAGATTCGTCGTGGAAAAGAGTGGAGAGTGGATTACAAGAGTGGATTTGAGAGGACTCAATGGATCGAACATTCGCGGCTGCAGGACACAATTGCTACCGGGTACCTATCGAGGAACATTGATCTGACCTTCGTTATATTGTTTTATTTATGCGTTCTCGTAGTGATATTTGTACTTTAATTCTATTTTAGGTTTCGAAGGCGTTGTAATGCATCTTTGAGAAACCCAAACCCAAACTTATAGAGATTTGTATGGAGACGCCATGCTGGTGCTCACCTGGATGAGCTCCAACATGGCGCACGGAAACCAACAGAAACATCTGTTACCGAGTTTTGCTACCAAAGCGGGAAAAGAGAAACGAGAAACTCATAAACATTAAAGTAATACTTTTTCTAATACATGAACAGTTTAGATAGCAAAATTTCCTGAAATAAGTCATTTTTTTAACCTACATGACAGCTCTCTTGGCCGTCATGTAAATGTCGCGTCACGCAAAAGCTTAGAAATTCAAGCGTACTCTATCACAAAACCAAGAACCCTTTTGAAGCGAAAATTTGTATGGTAGGATTGATAGTTTTTTAGTTTGAATTTTAGTGACGTCATGTGAAAACCAGCAGTATTCATGACTATTATTATTACAATTGTCTAGATACAAAAACTCCATTTTACAGAGCCAGCTTGCTCTTCTTTGTTTAAGGGCAAAATTAAAGAAAACTCTTGAAAATGTTTGATCTGTGACCACTTTGAGACAAGGTCAATACTTACACACGCGTCACGGATGCCTAGCTTAAAGTAATTTAAATACATTATATATCTGTCAACCCCAAGTGATTCTATGACCTTTTGAGATAGCCTCTCTGTAGACAATGGTATTTTAACTGATTAGTAAAATGCACGACAAGTATAAGTCAGCGAGGACACTAACAACCTTCATAGCTTAAACATAACTCTGTTGAGGATTAATCCTTTCTAGTCTTTTATAAGAACTACATTTTCCAAAAAAGGCATGCACCCTTTGTCGATAATTTTATAAACTAAGGGACGGACCATTAGAAAAGTGAAGGGGTGGGGTAAATACCATGTGGCCATTTTTTTCTCTTCTTAGCTGGCTCACTCTGTTCGGGTGGTATGCATTTTTTCCGCGTTTTCAATAGGCAATTTTCGAGTTGCTTCAAGCCTCTGTTTCAAAGGGAAGCTAAGCGTGAAAATATTGATGTGAAAATGATTTGTATTCCCAAGCAAATAAAATTCATTTTCATAAGAAAGGTTTTGCACTTAGCCACGTTTTGAAAGAGAGAGTTTTTGGAAATTGGAATATTGGAATGGCCTATTTATCCACAGATTTTGTTTGCACCCCCCCACCCCCCATTACTTCACTTTTGTAATCATCCGTCCCTAATGTACATAAAAATGAATTCTACATGCACCTGTAGAAATAGTCCCACAAAAACAGATGCAGCATAGCAGATTCAAGACCATAATAATAACACATGGCACTACATGAATTTGAGGAAGAGTATGAAAAAAATGGCCCTCTCTGAGTGACTAAAGTTAAAGGTTAAAGGTTAAAGTCAAATTCTCCTTTTATTTCATACAGAAGAAGAATCTAGCAGTTTATTATGAGTTATCATGATAACTTAATATCATCCTCATCCTCGTGTTCAGGTGTCGCTGATCCTGTTGATAGTTCCCTTGACAACCAACTGGGCCAATGTTCTATTGAGATGCCATGATTTCGAACTCGTTCTAAGAGTTTCTGTCAAAAAAAATCATTGTTCAGTATTCAAATGTAACAAAATCTACTGTAGTATATATTGTTTTCAACAATGCCTTAATATAAGAACATTTATTCATGATCAGCACAGTGCTGTCACTTTCAGTTTGCCGGGCAAATAAAAAGAGTAGACATGGAATTAAACATCTATTGACTTCTTTTGGTTCTCTATTTCCTCTATTTTTCTATTTGAAAGTAGCCGGGGATCATGTTCAAGGTTAATGCGTGAAATCCCCAGCATTCAATGACACCCCTGTTAGCAGAACAGAAATTTCAGGAGATCAAGTAAAATACTGCTTTTTTTAAAAAGGAAGACTGAAAGACCGAAATAATTTCAAAATAAATATAAATTTAATAGCAAGTAGTTTGAGCCTTGGCCAGGTAATAAGTAGATTACATAGGTGAGAGTAATCAAAAAACAAAAAATCGCTTTTAAGGGACAATGACTAATCCCACTTAGGACAACAGCACTGAGTTAATACCATGAACATCAACTACTACTGGCATTTTTCTTCATAGTATTTTCATTCCCAAACCCAGAACGTACCTTGATGCAATAAAACCACTTTTTAAAGCACCATTAATCAAAATTAGAGGTAATACAGCCATTTATAACATTTAGAGCTCACGTAAATCATACACATTGTTACTGTTGCGTATTACCTCAGGCTTCAGGTGATTCATGCGTCCAACCCTGTAGCCACACACTGCCATGTTGAGTTTTACACCAATAACAAGAGAGAAGAAGTATTTCTGGAAATGAAGACGATGAACAGTAACTGTAACAAAAATACTGGTAAATTGCTGAAAACCATGCATGGAGAAAAGCGGTATGGAGCAAAGTACTAGCCATTTGCAGAACTTTTTGCTCTACTGAGTATTTTGATGCATATATTTACCTCCTCAGTCGTAACAGCATATCGCTGAAGGTCATTAAACTTTGCTTGAAGCTGTGAGATGTAATTAACCTGAGCCTGTAACCAAAACACTTAAAATTTTAATAACACTTAAGGGTGGGTAAGCAAACGTTCAAAAATTACTTACTTTGGATAAATATGGCATCACAAACAAACAACATATATATTTGACTGAATTTATGTACACATGGCTGCAGTGAGTGTCCACAGGTCCTATGCTAAGTGTGTCCTTGGTACCAAGACTTTGACCCTCCCCACCAAGGACAATGAGTATTTGTCTGCGCCTTCCACTGAAATCTGCAATTATCATGATAATTATTCTCAGCAGAGCCCTGATTCAGCTGGCTAGGGCAAAGTGAGAACAAGATACTTGCCAGTCAAAGCCTCTTGAGAACACTGCTGCTTACTGAAGGGGCTGTGTCTAAACAGGCCCCTCTCTACCCCACTAGTTTTGCCCCCCCCAGGCCTGATCCACCCAGCTGTACCGACCAAGACGCCAAGCCCCGTGCTTTTTTCGACGCTGCACTGGCCTGGAGCCGGGCTACGCCCGGTGCCGGGCAAAAACCTAGTGGCCACGTTTTGACGAAATCAGAGAGATATAACATTATGTGGAGTCAAAAGAAATTGAATTGACCTTAGTATGACTGACAGTTCTAACATCTCTAGGCTTAGTTTGCAATTTAATCCAGATTCATTTTCTTGAGAGAATTCTAACTAGTCGTTGTAATAAAATTGTGGGCAAAAAGAATGCACCTGAATTCAGATTTGGATTCAAATCTCTCACTATCCTTAGATTAACTTGGGGGGGAGGGGGTGGTTGGGCGGAACTGCTATATATGGACTATATGGGTTTGTGATGTTGTGAAGGGTATGACTTTCAAGCCGTTTCATCTAGGATAGCCTATAGAAATTAGAGAGTTTGGGTCTAAAATAGGGTATCCTTTTCCAGGATACTGATCAATTGACCATTAAAGATTTAAATGAGGGATAAGATAGGGATGGATTTTAAGAATCCAGTAGTCTAGTGTACGTAGTCTAGGTCTGGTATAGGCTAAGGATATCAGGGTCCGAGCAACACATTGTATCCCCAGTCCTAAATTCCTAAATCCCCCCCGTAAACCCAACCCTGCTTAGAATAACCTGGCCTAGACCTATAAATTCAAAGCCTAAAAGCACCTTTATTCCATCCTCATATCTTTTCTTGAGATCAGACATCTGTGCCTTCAATGCCTCCGCCTCCTGGGTTCTCGCCTAAGAATTACATTAACAAAAATACATGTAGACACCAAATCAGTTGTAACCTTACTGCGCTTTGTGTCTCCATGTGTAAAGTTTACTACTGGTACATGTATACCATACTCTTTTTTGTCAGTAACAAAATCTGTACTAGTTCACTGTATGACGCAATAGGACCATGGTTTATGAGCAGTTATATGCAAAAGAAAAGAACGGCCATCAAATTGTATTTAATGCCGCAGTTCTTTTGGCTTGAAATTAACGTCTATTAAAAACATGACAACAAAACATATGGCGCAAAGAGAGATCCCCCGCTCCGCGATCGGCGTGGCGGACGACTTCCATAGCGTGACCAAAAGCCTTACTTATCTCTCCGACGCCAAGGAGATAAGTAAGGATCGGTCAAGTTCAGGTAGGTCCAAAAGAAACAAACTTTAATACGGCCTAACAATTTAGAGCACTACGAGCCGACTCTGCCGGCACGTGCTGGAATACAAACAAAATAAAGAGCGTCAAAGTAAGTTTGCGTTAAAATCAAAGCTTGGGGAAGTCGACTTGAGACAAAGGACCAAAGAAAGCGGTGAGCCCAATATAGAGCGTATTCACATGACGTCACGGCGGCCTTATTGGTGTTCCAAAACAATGAAACGGCGGCCATATTGGTGTTCCAAACAATCCTGTGGGAGTTGGGAGTTTAAAAGTAGTGCTTTTCATTGGCCGGTAAGCTACCGAGAAAGTTATTTATGTGAGCCTGTAAAATGCAAATCTCTAGAACATCTAGCGGGTGAATGTTTGCAGTTTTCAGAGGATTTAGAATGTTGTAATGTGCTTTCTGCCATGATTCTTTTGACAACCTCGTTCCTAGGGTTCTCTCTCTTGTAGTCCAGTCAAATTGTGGTTTAGCTTCAAACTAATTGCAACAGAATTTTTTTCAACGCCATGTAATTGTTGAATGGCTTTGTAACAACATACTAAAAATCCGCCAAAATCGGTTCGGTGAAACATGAAAAAAATTGGCAATAAAGATTTTCAACCTGCACCACAGGACACCCAATTTCAGGAAGATCACAAATTCAGATAAAACATTTCCCTCACTTCCCTCAAGAATTTTTGATACAACAACGCTAATGTATTTTGGGTAGTTTTGGTTTAAAAACGCCGAATAAATGGTGAGAAACACCTGGGTCAGTGTTTCGTCTTACTGCAAGTTAACCTTCTGACTGATTTGCGTGAATTATGCTCTCCGTGGGGAATTTCCATTACTCCAGAGACCCTTACACTCTTAATCTTTCCCTTAAAAACCAGCTTCCCTATCATACTATTTCGTTTTCTTGAAACAAACGTTTGCTAGAACCAAAGTTCTTATGCGATGAATGTTCCGTTAACCTTTGAGAAGGTAACAACGCTTTTCCTTTAATGAAAAGACATTTCCGTCTCATCAAATTCATAGGCACTGGAGCTTAACCTGTTCAAAAACTCTGCATTGTTGTGCGTCGTAAAGGATTAGTAAAACTATTCTCCCCTCCTCTCCAATTCACTTTTAACACGAAGAAAATGAAAAGCTTCGAAAAAGTGAAACTTGTATATTTGAGGATGTTGGTACGTTAACAAAAATTAATGTATAGGTAACCGTAAAAGCCAAAGCATTATTTTGCTGAATTTTTGAAAACGTACCGAACGAAAATTGCAGTCTTTTCACTGAGAAAAAGACCAAAAGCCGAAGGGAAAATGAGCCCAAAAATCCTCTTAGAAAAGAACAAGGAAAGGAAAAATAGAAAGAGCGAGGAGAAAGAAACGAGAAGAAAGAAGAACAACGGCTGTACTCTTAGTCTTTATGTTGACTTCAAGCTTTGGAGATAGTTGTTGAAAGAAAAAAACTGTTTGAGGGGAGAGCTCTGTTTTGGCTGTAACGTTATTCAAAAATCCAGCTCTGATATATATTTTTCTTACCCTTGACGCTAACAGAAATCTGATAATCAAAGAAAGACTATCGTCAACTCGTGGGTACGTTGTTTAGAAAATAATCAGTTAGTTATCACCTCTGGTTTTCCCACAGTGAATTTTAGAAAATGATAAAAATTCATGTTACAAATATACTATCCTTGTTCTGGAAACACAATACTTTTCTTGCTGTTTATTGCACTTTAGTAACAGTTATTTAAGTATATATTTAAAAACAAAACAAAAAAAACAGCAAAACAAATAAGCAAACAAGACAAAACAAAAAAAGAAAAAAAAAGGAAGAAGGGAAAAAGAAGGTCATTAGCGGGATTTGAACCCGGTACCTTCGGTTTGACCCGACCTCACATAGTCACTACGCCATTGAGGATGGTCACGTGATTTGGCAAAAAGTCTCGCATTTAATGCCTTTTCCATGGAACTTCCGGCGGCAAACGATCGAGCCATAAAAACGACTCGAAGCAATGGGATGAAATTAAGGCTAATTGAAACCAGGCTACTGACAAGTAAACGCATTTCATACAAAGCCGACACAACTCCTCCGCGAAGTAGGACGCAAAACATTAGCTTATGTTTTCTTATCTCGATTTCCGCTGTTATTTTAAAAAGGTAATGCTCAAACTCACATCCATTTTCCCCCCGTGATCTTGGGGAGTCCTTAAGAAGAAAATACCATACATTTCACCAGTCCGTATTTTATAGTCCGTATTTTATACCCAGTCCGCAGTCCGTAGTCCGCAGTCCGTGTTTTATACTGACCGCCATAAATTCATTCATACACATAACCTACTACAGTGCTACAAGGTAGGAGATCAAGCCAGCGTCGAAGTTGAAGGAGTCGAAGAGCAAATGCTCATCTTCTTGTCAAGTTTAACGCCTGGGCGGGTCAAAGGCTTTTGAATCGTACTAATTTGAAAGATTCCTGCCTGTCTTAAATTTGGTAAGACCTCTATCCTAACCGTGCTGTAGCGCACGATGCACGCTCGCAGCGAGGAATTTGATGCTACCGAACTTCGGCGAGCGGGTCCTTCTTTGGAAACGATAGATCTTCGCGCTCTCGAGTTCGGACCCGATTAATTACGAAGTGCGTCTACTACGAGTGAGTGAGTGACTCATTTGCATATCTCAGTCCCTGCAATAACTCGTGGTACGCTCGCGCGTACCCACGAGTTAAAAAAGGATATCTTTTAAAAGCTAATGATTAAGCAACGGCTTTCATTTTTCAGATTTAAAGTCTTACGACTAAATTTGTCGTAGTTTTACAGCCAACAGTTCACTCTATTACTCTGAAAGCCTCCTGTTGTTTTAGGGTTCCTTGAGTGGGACATGGGCTTCCTGTGCAAAAGCCAACCATGGTTAATATTTATCCCTTTTGAAAAAAGAAACACTTCGTTTTTATCAGCGAAAACTAGGTACCAGTTATTCTTTCTTCTTGCACTTTTCCATAAAAGTAGCAAACACATTTTGTGCATATTTTGTTAACCGTATAATTTCAACTAACGTTGGTGCCCTGTGTCAAAAGCTCAAAATGTTTGACGCTTAATTTTGACATGTTCCGCCGAACGGATTTTGGCGGATTTTTTAGTATGTTGCTAGATAGGCCACCCTTACTTAAATGACTTGACAACAATTCTGTTGCAATTAGTTTGATCTTGAGCCTCCAAAATGCGTAAATTGACTGGACTATTGCTTCGAGAAAGAACCCTGGTTGCAGCTGGTCATGTGACTAGCTGTGACAATGAACTCCTCACCAGGGTAGGGCTAATGTATTATATCTATCTTCATCTTTGGTCAACGGAACAACTGAATATGAGCTAAAACTCGAGGCAGTAATATGTATTCAGGCATATGCTATTTGTTTTGGAAAGGTAAATGAAGGATCGAGGTTTGTTTATTATTGTTCTTTCACGACAAATTTTTGTGAGGACAGCTCATTCTACCCGCTTGATTTTCACCCTGTTTTGTACAGTGTGAACTGGTTTCAGTTCACGGCCGTTAAGTGCACTGACTGGTTTGCATGAGAACTCGACGTTTGCTTTCCTACCACCGGCGCCTTAAAAATTCTCGATAAGTGAAAGTCTTGTATTCTCTGGAGATATCAAAATTGATTTGTATTCCTCTTCATCTCATAATATAATTTCCAAACCCATTAAGCTGACGGCTTTCCGGCGTACGTTTGCTGTACTAAATCAATCGGTAACCCTCACTTTATGCCGCGGCAGCGGCAAAGAAGAATCGAAAATTTTCAACGTAAAACTTAACTTTCCTCGAGTCTACAACAGCTACAACCATTTTCAGGCCGATAGCACGTGTATGATATGGAAAACTTGGCTATAAATTTGTTCTTATTACCAACATACTTCAAAGCATTCCTCTCTAGCTTGCAAGAGATAATTAGATAATTAAATTTTTTGACGGTGCTGTTTTTGTTGCGAGTATCCTTCAGATGTAGCCTATTGCCCTTTACTTTGTAGTATGGTCAGCTATTGACCTGTCTTCCGGTCCTTGAGGGCAACGGGTCTAATTCACTCTTACGCAATTAGTCAGACAAAAAGGTAATAATAATGTTATTAAATAGTCATTACGGAACGGCGCCTGTAGATCCGTGTCGCCCGCAAAATCGTGGGTCCCATGACTATTTGCGCGCTCACAAAGGGAGCCGACGCATGTCGCGTCCTTTTATTCAAGACTCAAGTGTTACGGTATTGTTTCCACGATACAAAGGTAATTTAACTTAAGAAAATCTATAGATCGAAGCTTTCGCGCTACTGTCTGTTTTATAAGGAAATGCAAACGCTCAACTTGATAAATATTTTGACTTCATAACATATTTTAACGATTTAGGCCAGCAGAATGTTTAGAATTCCAGGAAAACAATTCAGGAAGCCGAACGGTTTTGAACTGCGCTAGAAGTTATTTTTATCAGTATGCAAATCACCTACCCAATCACTTACTTTCCATCGAATTGAAATATCCTGACTTTTTTTTACCACTTTTCGATTTGATTCGTTTCATTTTATATTATTTTGTGCAAGCTGAGCTCTTTCATGCGAATTTACCCTTTCAAAAGGAAAAAAACTTCGAGGAAACGTTGTGTTTACAACCACGGCAACTTGTATCTATTTCGCTTCACTTACGCTTATATGCAAATTACTGCTCATCCGCCGGATTTCGCTGACGACAAAAATATCGATTTTGAATTCCCAAATGCTTCCCTTTTGGGGCACCCCTTTTATTTTGGCTATCAAAATTTTAAAAGCTAAGCTTCAGACTTTTCATTCCAACGTTTTAATGCGGGAAAGCTAGGAGAAATGCTCCAATTGATTTAAGTCACGCAACACGCTTTAAGACCGCATAACTTGATCTTTCTGTTATCTTTTGTTCTTCTATTGTCTCCAAAACAATAACAATGTTTTACCAATTTCCACCTACAAATAATAGGACACATTTGATTGACAGAAAAATTTGCATTTACTAGCGACGCGTATCTACAGGCGCGATTCCGTAATGTAGTTGAAACATTTTTTGGAGGGAAAGAAACGCGCCTTGATCGATTGTGTTTTTTTCACTGATAGATGACTGATTTTAATAGTCTTGTAGTAGTGAAGCCAATGAAAATGCAGGATTTGCAATTAGTCCACTAGCTCTTAACATAGCAATAACTTAAGGAAGAGGAATCAGTGAATTTTATTGAACAAGATTTGAAAAAACAAATTGCTTCAGCTTTAACCATGTCAATCAAATGATGAATAACAGAGAAAGTGCTTTAACTGCTTGCGCAATGAACCTGAACTGTTTACATGTGCACAGTATACAGCTATTTCGAGAAAGGTTGTCGCAAAAAATGTGCACGCGACAATCCCGAAAGGTATGGGATATTACCAATACACTGTTCCTGACACTGTAGCTGTCGAACCTACTTTTGTTGCTTTCCTTTAGCACTCGCAAACATACGTCCATGGCCTCTCGTGCCATTCTTTCAAAATTTCTTTAAAGAACAGTAAACTCAAAACCACCCACAACTACACCTTTCGGGATTGTCACGTGCACTTTTTCCGACAACCTTTCTCGAAATAGCTGTATGGAAATGAAAAGTTTCGCTTGGTAAAGAGAAAAAAATTCTTTTTTAATACTACTATATTTAGTTATCATAACAACCTGACATAACACCCGCCGAGCTACACAGCTCGGTAAGTTTAATTGGAAAAGAGCTCTTTCCTTTTGATAAGCCATCAACGAGCACAACAACTCCGTGGGTTATAAAATTTTGTTTGATATGGTACAAACGCTTCGCAATTCTTTACAGCGCATGCAACGTGACATAAACAATTGCCAGGCAGCGAAGAACAACGGTCTTGAAAAGCTTATAATTGTTTGATATGGTACAAAAGCTTCGCGATTCTTCACAGCGAATACAACGTGACAAAAACAGTTGCCAGTCAGCGAAGAATAACAGCCTTGAAAAGCTTATAATGAAATCAGGCCGAGTCGTACACACATTTTACCAACACCAACACTTGGATTGATACAACCTAGAAGACACCTGAATAACAGTACGTCTTACAGGATACTTAACTTATATACCATGCACACACTCCACGTCCGCGAAATACGCAAGCGATGGAGAAAGAGGTCAAAGTCGAAGAACGTGACCACGCACGAGCATGACATCTGCACGAAAACGAGTCCAAAGGAGTCCAGTTTGCTGCGGCCGAGATGCCTACTTTACAGTCGCCGGTGATTGCTCAAAAACTTCTGCCTTAGTGCCATAGGAACACCAGATTAGGATGCGTTCTGACGAACATGATAAAGCTATAAGCCCAAAAAATGGAAAGAGCTTACAGTTTTGACTTTCTTAGCGATAACAGTTGCGTGTGGCAGCCCATTGCCACTGGTGGCACGTACATTGAGTCCTTCGATTAATTTAAGTTGCTCGGTGTTCACATTACCAAAGATCTATCATGGGTGGTTCACTGCTATTGTGTTATCCAGAAAGCCAACAGAAGGCTCTACGCCCTGAGAGTCGAAGAGTGGAGTCCATCCGGATGATAGCGGAGCTCGACGCGCGCGCTTCGCGCGCGCGTGGACGGAGCCCCATAGCTAAGGAAATGTGGTAATCTACCCATCCGAGAAAATTTGGTAATCACGTGACCATACGCCCGACCGTCCGTCCGAACAACAGGGAAACCAATGTTTAATCTTACACTTTCTAGCTAGTTTAGGAGCACAGGAAAACATATTGCACATCAATGTTGCGGTCAATTGACAGCTGTCAAAACAGTGTATCCGCTGACCAGTATCACCTGGCCGTATCGTGGGCTCAGGTGTCTACTTATCGAGGTGGAATATTTTAGGAGTTATCCGCTGACAAGTTACCAGTTTTCAAACGATCGCTGGCTCAAGTTTAATTTTTTTCTAATTCATGAAATATGTTGTGTTTGGGAGCCGCACAATTTAAATTTTGATTTCAAACTGACCTCGGACGCGAAAATTCAGCAAGCTATTACAGGCAGGGAAGACAGTTGCTTTTGACTTTTCTCACCATGGTCACTCTCTACGTCCAATTTTTATGCTCTGATTGGTCAAAATTTGACAGGTGAGTTCATGCAGAATTTTATGCAGCATCTTGAAACTTGTTTACTTTGACAGCTGAAGCTGACAAAGTTTTGTGTCAACTAGTGATGCTTTTAACTGTCTTTTTCTATTGGATGTACAAAATGAAATTCAGCTGCTATCAAGAGTCTTCTGTTATTCATGGCTAGTTTGTTTATTGGGTTTTTGGTTTAGAAATACTTCACTTGTCAAAGCCGGAAATCCGATTTCGGATGGCATCGTTTTCGTTTTTTACCTTGCTTGATGCATAAGAGGGTTGAAAAGTCTGAAGCGATTCTAACCTTACTTGATAGCTTCCAGAAGCTGCATCTTGAATGGTAAGCCTGAGTAATTATTGCATTTGATGTTTGTTTCTATATGTCTAATTTAACGGAGTCGAGCGTAGTTTATGCGGCTTTTTAGTTTATGCACGTTTGTAAGATTTGAGACAATCGGATCTGACCGGGTATCAGGTTTGATATAAGCTTACAGAACTTTAAAAAGCCTTTAGACATTTTCCCACCGCAAAAAGAAAGAAAACGTTCCAAAGAATATTTTGTTATAATTCTGGCTGTGAAAGAAAACACTGGGAAGCCGGCTTAAAACATAAACTTGAGCTTTAAGTTTGAAGACTTGTCTTCCTGAAAATTGTTCCCTGTATACGTCTCCCCGAATTATAGCGGAGCTCCAAGCGCGCGTGGGCGGAGCCCCATAGCTAAGATAATCTACCCATCCAAGAAAATTTGGTAATCACGTGACCGTACACCGAACGAAGGAACGAACGACCGTCCGTCCGCACCACAGGACAACCAATGTTTACTCTCACACTTTCTAGGGAGTGTGGGAGCCGAGGAGAAAACTACTTGCATATCAATGTTGTGATCAATTGACAGCTGTCAAAACAGGATATCCGCTGACCAGTATCACCTGACCGTACCGCGGGCTCAAGTGTCGACCCATCGAGGTCGAGTACTTTTTTGCAGTTATCCGTTGACAAATTACCAGTTTCAAATGATCGCAGGCTCAAGTTTACTTTTTCCAATGATTCATAAGAAATTTGTTGTGTTTATGTCACTATGGCCCCGCACTATTAAGATTTTGATTTCAAACTGACCTCGGACGCGAAAATTCAGTCAGTTTTTTTAAAAATACTGGCGGATAAGACCTTTTCTTACCATGGTCACGCGTTGGTCACGCTCTACGTCCAATTTTTATGCTCTGATTGGTCAAAATTTGACAGGTGAGTTCATGCGGAAAATTTATGCAGCATCTTGAAAGTTGTTTACTTTGACAGCTGAAGCTGACAGATTTTTGTGTCAACTTGTGATGTTTTTAACTGCCATTTTCGACCGGATGTACAAAATGAAATACAGCTTCTATCAAGAGTCTTCTGTTATTCATGGCTGGTTTCTTTATTGGGTTTTTGGTTGAGAAATGCGTCGCTTGTCAAAATTCGGTAATCCGATTTCGGATGGCATCGTTTTTGTTTTTCACCTTGCTTAATGCGTTAGAGGGTTTAAAAGTCTCAAGCAACTGTGGCCTTCCTTGATAGCTTTCAGGAACTGAATCTCGAACGAATGGTAAGCCTGAGTAATTATTGTATTTGATGTTTGTTTTTGTTATATCTAATTTCATGAAGTCGAGCACAGTTTATGCGGCAAGTTTATGCACGTTTGTAAGATTTAAGTCAACGATCTGACCTAGTGTCAGGTTTGATATAAGCTTACAGAACTTTAAAAGGTCTTCAGATATATTTTCTCACCGCAAATAGAAAGAAAACGTTCCGAAGAATATTAAGTTATAAATTTGGCTCTAGAAAGAAACTTTTGAGCGATTTTCTTGCTTCGAGGAGTTCATCTTTGAAAAAAGCAAACACCGGGAGGCCGGCTTCAAGTAAAACATAATTAACTTAAGCTTAAAGACACAGGATTTTTTGAGACACCAGTAAGACACTTTAATACCTGTCTTCGTGAATGAAAATTGTTGCCTCTTTAAATGTCTCACCGAATTATATTTCTTTTATTGATTGTTAGTAGTCTCTCTTGCAATTTTAATCGCTTGTAGGTGCCGTTTGTTTTCATCTTTCATGAACTTCGCTTCCAGGAGTACTAAAAAATGTCGCGCGCGTATCAAACGCTTTATAAGATTACACATCGTTATAACTGAAACCATTAAATAACAAAAAAATAATAATAATAAATTCGTTATTATGTTGAAGCGTAACTCTATTAAAGTTCATTCAAACACTCGACCAGACTGACAGCTGGCACTAGAAATGAGAACCGGCTGGCCGTATGGGTGATTTTGGAATTTTTTTGAACGGTTTCGCTAAAAGCCCACGATTGATCGTTCTGAATATTGACTAAGTGCAATTTGTCTTAAAAAATTGTGAAATGCCGCATTCTGTCCGAGGTTTGTATGATAAATAGAACTGTTTCACCTCAGATGTGATGTATAAAGAGTATGAAAGGTTGGTTTACACACTCCAGATTGTCCAGATTTGTTGGCAAGAATTTGTAAAGTAAACCTGACGAACGCAAAAAAAATTCGGCCTGATTTGTTTTCCAAGAATTTGTTTTCGAGGCCTAATCTACTGTGATCAAGAGCCATTATGGCTCTTGAATGTGATCGAACATGTTTGCTATTTTTTGGGTGTACATATAAGGCTATCAACTCGATGTAAGAAATAACTTAGCCTTTCCCTCAAAAGTCACATGAATGTGCCCTTAACTTAACTGATTTGTGGATCACAAGTTTATTGTTTGATTTAAATTATAGATTTATTAATGGGAGCTTCGCTTTTAGCCCTGGCTAAATCTATATATTAGTGACCTTAAGATACACCGCCTTTGCCAACGGGTGTGGGAGGGCGAACATGTCTGCGCGGTAGTTAAATAAAGGTAGCCATTATTTCTCTGAAAAATGCTGGCAAACCACGTGTTTTGGCGATTAATGCTTTTCTACACACACTTGCTGCTCTTGCCGCAACCTTCACTGCTGTGGCTTTCTATTGTTTTCTTTAATAATGATGCAAAGCTAACGCCAACGTAAATTTTGCGCGAATTTGATGTAAACCGCCTAGCCGAGGTCGGATTCGTGATACCCCACCTTGAAACGTTTACATGGCAAAATTTGACTCAGGCTGAGAGGGTTTTTTTTTTAATTGCTTCACTCATTATCCGTGTCTTAATTCTTCCGCTTTACCTTTGTAAAAGAAAACGTTAACAAAAATCTGCAAGTTCTAATTCAAAACATCAGACTTTCGAGTCTGAATAGCTTAGTTTTAGCTTTTTCTTTTATTGTTTGGAATTGACATAAGCTCACACTTTTCATTAAATATTGTTTATAACAACATCCAAAGTGTAGGAAATTTTTTCCGCCTTAGTTTAATTTACCAATTTTGGCTTTAAAAGTAGTGCTTTACATTGGCCGGTAAGCTACCGAGAAAGCTATTTACGTGAGCCTGTAAAATGCAAATCTCTAGAACATCTAGCGAGTGATTGTTTGCAGTTTTCGGAGGATTTAGAATTTTGTAATCTGCTTTCTGCCAGGATTCTTTTGACAACCTTGTTCTCGGGGTTCTCTCTCTCGCTTAGAGAAAGAACCCTGGTTGCAGCTGGTCATGTGACTACCTGTGACAATGAACTCTTCACCAGGTTAGGGTTAATCACTACTAGGAGTATGTATGTGAAACATCATGCGAAAAAACGTGTGAAAATTGTCCTTTTATTGCGAGTCTTCCCCCAACCGAATTTACGAAAACGATCGAGCGCTCCGCATGGTGGGGCACTGGTTTGCTGAAGAGATGACTCGAGCAAGAATCTCAACTGTTTGGGATAAATGGCCACAAGCGTGACGTTTTTAATTGAAACCAATGATAAAATTAACTAATTAACATCTCTTCAGGAAAGGTGGGGACAAAACTCCGCCACAAATTAGCAAATACTGATGACAAACTAAAGAAGATAAAACTATAAGAAGATGTAGACGGTGGCAGGTCGGAGACTGGGGAGGTGGTGGGAAAAATTTTCAACTAAGCGTGAAAGGGATGTCTGTACAGGCTGATGGTAATAGTTGGAAGGGCCGCGCAAAACATATAACAAGTCTTTTATACAACACTAAACACGTTCAATCTCCTGATAGGCCAGGGAACCACCGCCTGCACACTGCTAATAAGAAACGGGAAATGCATCGAATTAAAATGACATTATGATTCCATCTCCTCATCAAAATGTTTGTTATTTTCACTCTTTTCACATGCATTTCACATACATATTTCACGTGCATGTGAAATTTTGCATAGTGAATATATGTGAAAAGGGTGTGAAACGATGTCAACCCCTTCACACATATTTTTCACATACACTTCACATGGGTTTGACACGGGCTTTCACATATAAATTCTCACTGAATGGAAAAAGAATTTCACATGCTACTTAAATTCACACACATATTCACGTACACTTCAAATGGGGTTTTACATAGACTTTCTCATGTATTTATTCCTTATTGAATGGCAAAAGATCTAGAATTTCACATGCTACTAATTCACACAAATTTTCACATACACTTCACATGGGGTTTCAGATGAGCGTTCACATGTAAATCCTAGGTGATCATGAATGGCAATAGAATTTCAAGTTACTTCACACAAATTGCGTATGTTGATTCACACACAAATTTACCCTTGCACTTTCCACTTGCAATATAAATTGTCTGATGTACTGTCAACTACATGCATGGTTGTGTCTACACATAGTCACAAACAACTTCAGGTTTGTAGCCTGATCTGTTGGTTTATTTTTATGGCATTTTCAGAAAAGCTTGATTTATATAAAACTGGTAAAAAGTAAAAAGCAAACTGGATAGAATTTTTTGGCAAACGAAATTGGTTTCATAATATCAACACGGTGTAACTCAGTTCAACTGACTCACATGTCCCAAAATGAACTTAAATGTAAATTTAAGTTACTCACCTACTGATCACGAGTGGATTTATTTAATTTGTTTAATAACTGCTGATCTCATTAAAAAGGCACATAAGGCTAATCGAAACATCAATGTCTAATCCTGTTCATTTGCCTTTATTGTGTCACTATTTATTGTCTGGAGGATAATAATTATAGGCAAAACTTTATACCACGCTCAGTTTTTTGTGCATATAATTTCTACATCAATATCACAATGATATACTAATATACATGTGTTCACCTTGAACTCAAATGTATATTCCGTCACATATGAGGCCTGTTATCAAAACAGAGTTTAGACGATTTTTAACAAAACTGTGTTTTTAGTCTCTTTTTGTTTGCGGTTATATCACAGTATCAAGAACGCTTACAGTTCAGGCTAGAAATCCATTTGCCTACTTACTCACTTGGAAACCGGTGTATGACATTTGCAGACTGCAGACTGCAGACCACAGATTGCAGATTGCAAATTAAAAGACACCAAAAATCTTCCTAATAAAGGTGACACCATGAAAAATATAACATCGTGTGAAAGTGAGAAAGTAGCCAAGTTGGCCTCATTTCCAAGATGCTGTTGGCTATTCTTCACCGAAGCGACTCTTTATTGACTCACCCAGCATATCACTAATTGCGTTGATTCTTTATTCTTCTTTGATCATTGTGAATTGATAATAACAAGTAGCAATGCCCACTAATGACTGTCTAAATGGTAGTCTTCTGTAAAAAAATAGTTTTTAGATTGCGTGCTCACTACAGTTACGTCAACAAAAACAACTAGGATAGATCACAGACATTTAACACCTTTTAAATGACGTATTTCATCTTAGCAGTATTTAAGGATATGCTAAATAATCTAAACCGAACAGATCCTTCCTGGACTCGACGAATTACCGGAAGTGCATTTTGAATTTCTAAATAAGCAAATCGACAATGGGTTTTTTTAACATACTCAAATCCTAGTACACAGGTGGGGCCCCCGTAGAATAACGATTCCGGCGCTGTTTCACAGGCAGACTTATATAACCAGAGTTTAGTTTCGTCCGTGGTGCAGGCTAAATTCCTAGCCTGTTGCTATGGATTCATGAGCGAGTTTGTGACATCGGCAGACATTATTCTGCTCTAATTCAATACGAGAAGAACAGCCAACAACTCCTTTAGGAATGAGGTCGGTGTAATTCGCATGAAAAATATAAACTTCGCCTCTAGGCCTTACATGTACTTCTCGGAACAAGGTAATGTTGATGATGATGCCACCTTTATTACGATACTTTTGGTTTCATTCAATTTACAGTCTTGCTGCCTTATGCAGTCTGCAGTCTGCAGTCTGCAGTCTGCGGTCTGCAGTCTGCAGTCTGCAGTCTGCAGTCTGCAGTCTGCAGTCTGCAGTCTGCAGTCTGCAGTCTGCAGTCTGCAGTCTGCAGTCTGCGGTCTGCGGTCTGCAGTCTGTGGTCTGCACTCTGCAGTCTGCAAATGTCATACACCGCTTGGAAACAAAATTGTGGAGGCACTTATTTTCTTAAACTATGCTTGAAGTTATGAATTTGCTTTAATAACTGCCCCATATAGATCACACTGATACTGTAAAATTTCATTTGAAGACAATATCAATTTGTAGAAATCATAGTGTTATTATTACTCTTTGCCCGTACATATATGCTGATTATATTGCTGTAATGTCACACTCTCAAATCAACATCGTGTGAAAACGTTATGAATTTTTCATGAAATTTTTAGCACATTCTTTAAAGAGTTTTAAGAGAATGGTGATAGAAAAATAATGTTTTAAATGGAAATTTAAGGTTTAAAAACCATGAAATTTTACTCATGAAAAATGCCTTTGTTTTTGGTACATTTCATGGCCTAATAAATTAACTAGAAACGTAATTGCTTCTACCTTGTAGTCGACACTGCATGCATATCGGAATCGTATGCTGTTTCTTCTCCTATTTTATTTAACTACACAGGCAGAACATACAATTTTCAGAGTATTCCGTTGACGATTTGCAACCAAGAGTACAGTTATTTCTGAAGTAAACAAAAAGGAATCAGTCACTGGCATATCTGTGCATGCACCTTAAATATGCTATTTGCTTTGGAAACTCAAATAAAGGATCGAGGTTTGTTTATTATTGTTCTTTCAAGACAAATTTTAGTGGGGATAGCTCTGAAAATTTTGAATTCTACCCGCTTGAGTTTCAACCTGTTTTGTGCAGTGTCAGCTGGTTTCAGTTCACTGACTGGTTTGCATGAGAACTCAGCGTTTGCTTTCCTGCCACGGGCGCCTTAAAAATGCTTGATAAGTGAAAGTCTTGTATTCTCTGGAGATATGAAATTGATTTGTATACCTCTTCATCTCATAATATGATTTCGAAACCCATTAAGCTGACGGTTTTCCGGCTTACGTTTGCTGTACTAAATCAATCGGTAACCCTCACTTCATGCCGCGGCAGTGGCCAAGAAGAATCGAAATTTTTCAACGTAAAACTTACTTTCATCGAGTCTACAACAGCTACAACCATTTTCAGGTCGAAGCACGTTTATGATATCAGGTGATATGGAAAACTTGGCTATAAATTTGTTCTTATGACCAACATACTTCAAAGCATTCCTCTCTAGCTTGCAAGAGATAATTAGATAATTAAATTTTTTGAAGGTGGTGTTTTTGTTGCGAGTATCCTTCAGATGTAGCCTATTGCCCTTTACTTTGTGGTACGGTCAGCTATGCTATTGACCGGTCGTCCGGTCCTTGAGGGCAAGGGGTCTAATTCACTATTACCCAATTAGTCAGACAAAAAGGTAATAATAGTAGTTGAAACAATTTTTTTGGCGGAAAGAAACGCGCCTTGATCGATTGTGTTTTCCACTGCTAGAGGACTGATGTTAATAGTCTTGTAGTAGGGAAGCCAATGAAAATGCAGGATTTGCAATTAGTCCACTAGTTCTTAACATAGCAATAACTTTAGGAACAGGGACCAGTGAATTTTATTAAACAAGATTTGAAAAACAAATTGCTTCAGCTTTAACAATGTCAATCCGGCAAATGATGAATAACAGAAAGTGCTTTAAGTGCATGCACAATAAACTGTTTACATGTGCACATTATACCGAAATGAAAAGTTTCGCTTGGTAAAGAGAGAGAAATTCTTTTACAATACTACGATATTTAGTTATCATGACAACCTGTCGACATAAAGGGGAGAATTTCATATATCCCATGATGCTTCGCGGCTAATTTCTATCTTCTCCCCGCGGTGGAAAGAGCGTTCTAGAGTTTTGAGGGAGTTTTTCAACGACCTGAATTTCAAGATGCAGCTCATCCAAGGTAAGTTTCAATGAGCCGTGTTAATCTTTTGGTATCTGATTGATAATGCAAAATGTTTCCATGGTCACTTCACACATTACTGCTCTCGTTTACGACCCTGTTAAGCCATGCTGTTTTAACTCGCAAGTGAATATTTATTTAGATAACTTTCAATTATCGAAAACTGTCTTCATAGCGAGGTTTTGCACTAATAAATTATTTAAATCGGCGGACAAGGAGTGCTTCATACTAGAACAATACCCCTCGAGCAAATGTATTTCCAACAGGGGTGGCTAACTTTGGTAAAGCTATGTATCGGTCCCTAGAAAGGTCAACCCAGGACACCCGGGATGGATTTTTTTTGTACAGTGCCCAGGTCTCATTTTCTTGGCCGCGCGTTGATCTGGCCCGGCTACTTCGGCGAACATATTCTCGGCCTTTTTGGATTACATCCTTCGAGTTTGTCAAAGTCTGCGGGATTCGTTTTTCTATCTGTGAAAGCTTCATTGGTTTCTATACCTGCTGCTATCCGATTACTACGATCCTGGAATTTTTATTATTTGTTGGAGCTCGAATGTCGTGGAAAAAGTTGTGTTGAATGAGAGCATGGCGGCGAAGATGGCATCTCTTGTCTCCTACCTTGTATATTATAATTGTATATAGAGTGAATTTGAACAAACTATCACGAAACTTCTTTGGAACAATAAGTACAACAACAACTAACTGCATGGTAAGTTTCACTGACTTATATTTAGTATCTCCTACAAATTTTAGGATCGTATTTTTACCCCATACAAGCACTGTAATTTAACTAGAACCGTGCTGTGCTACTATCACAGAGCCTGGGTTACCTGTGAGCGGACGCGTGACAAAACAATTGCCAGTCAACGAAGAATAACAGCCTTGAAAAGCTTATAATGAAATCAGGCCGAGTCGTACACACTTTTCCCAACACCAACACTTGGATTGATACAACCTAGAAGACACCTGAATAACAGTACGTCTTACAGGATACTTAACTTATATACCAAGCAAACACTCCACGTCTTCGAAATACGCAAGCGATGAAGAAAGAGGTCAATGTCGAAGAACGTGACCACGCACGAGCATGACATCTGCACGAAAACGATTCCAAAGGAGTCCAGTTCACTGCGGCCGAGATGCCATTGAAAAAATTAATACGGGGTGGCTAATTTGCTGTCGCCCGTGATTGCTCAAAATTTTCTGCCTTAGTGCCACAGGAACACAAGATTAGGATGCGTTCTGATGAACATGATAAAGCTTAATCCCAAAAACTGGAAAGAGCTTACAGTTTCGACTTTCTTAGCAATAATAGTTGCGTGTGGCAGCCCATTGTCACTGGCGGCGCGTACATCGAGTCCTTCGATTAATTTAAGTTGCTCGGTGTTCACATTACCAAAGATCTATCACGGGTGATTTGACTGCGATTGTGTTAAACAGAAAGCCAACAGAAGGCTCTACGCCCTGAGAAGTCTTAGGCCGAAGAGTGGAGTCCATCCGGATGATATTGTTTTCGTCTACTGTAAGCTTGTCAGATCTGTACTTGAATATGTAGCCGCTGCTTTTGCTGATCTTCCCAATTATCTCGCCAATGACATGGAGAAAATCCAGAAGCACGCCCTCTGAGCTATCTATCTCTTTACTTCATACGAAGACGCACTGGTTAAGGCAGTGATCGCGAGCTTAAAGCAAAGTCGCAAAGACGCTTGTGTCACATTTTGTAAAAAGAATTTGTCCTGGCAACCCAATCTTCCCTTTAATTCAAAGCAGGATTGTTCACTTATCTTCGGCTTACTGTACACGTTCAAATCGATCATTTACCACCCTACCGTCTAATATTGCTCGTTTCGCTAATTTTCTAACTGTAAAATATGCCACCATTTAGTGCAATAATTTAAATAACAGAAGCCTTTGAGCTCGATGGGAGAGTCTATTCATTTCTGTGGTGTTTGCGGGATAATTTCTCCTCAACAGGTAAACGAAAGGCTCCAAATGTTACGTAGGGATTTGAATATTTCTTTCCCATGGCTTTAAGTTAATAAGTTTAAAGTTTGCTGCTTTTATGAGAAGTATATAAACGGAAGCTTCGCTTTTAGCCCTCCCTAAATCTGTATATTATTGCAAGATATAAGTGAATAAAAAGGAAGGATTCTAAACAAACCTTACTGCTACATTTGTGTGATAATGGAACACAAGAACTGGTTTCAACAACTGGGAGGAAAGGTAAAACGAGCTATCATAAAAGTATACAAAAGCTTATGTTGGGAGTTCTAGCCCTTCATCAATGCAAATCCAAGCACAAATGAGTTGACTGGGTTTCAAAGAGTGTCCAGCTGTGGTTGAAATGCTTAAGTATTTAAATACCTTAGCAAGAAAATCTCCTCTTGAACATTCAGCCTTCAGATCTTCTACTTCTTGAACATACATCTGCAAACAGAAAAAGAACATTTTAGAGGGCAGCAGCAATCTTGTTAAGTCATATCAATCTCTTTCCACGAGGTGGTAAAGAAGCAAAAAATAAGGCCATTACTCTTGTAAAGCCTTACAAACAATAGGTAAAGTAATTCATGAATCTGTCATCAAACTTCTCAATAATTTTTTTCCAATGTAAAACTGTGACTTGCGCAAGAAAAAGAAAAATTTAAGGACAAAAAAAGGAAGAAATGCATGACTGTAACCTTGGACAAATTTTATTTTGGTAAAGGCAGTGGCTTATGACATATTTATATAAGGAAATAACCTTTTCTATACCTCCAAGGTATTCCTATGAGTTTTTTCAAGTTGCCTTCCTGATTCATCAAGAGCCTAAAAAGAATTAACACTTAAAAGTTAGTGACGAAAAACATTTTATTATAGATCTTAAGGTTGTAAGAATGTGTAATGAAAGTAGTAATTACATGATGAGCTGAAAGTGTACCTTTTTCAGCTGAACTACTTGTTCTGAAATCCCATCATTTGTATCCAATTCTGAAAATCAACAAAATAACTTAAGTTCATAGTTGAGAAGTGCTTTCTGTAAGGCTTCTTATTAGCGAATTACAAAGCATTTTTATCAAACATTTTAAGAACAACAAAAATGAACTTTGAAGAACTTTTAGGCCAACACTTTTTCAAAAACCACAATGGTATCCATATGATTGATTAAAAGAGACTTGTGAGGAGGCTTCTGTGTACTCTTCAGAATGTGATTATCTGTGCACAGGAAGACAACCAGAAGGCTGAGGCTCAAGCAGAGAAGTTTTCACCTAAATTTTATTCCTAAGGTGTGACTGCATAAGAAGTTAACTAAAAAAGTTATGCCTACCAAGTTTTCTTCCCCCAATCTCTACTTGAATCTTGGAGAGATGACTTAAGGATGTGACAAGAGAATCGATTCTTTGATTCACCGCCTCTTGTGAGTGACTGAATGTATCCATTTGCCTTTTAATTTCAACCTCTCTTTTTTGCCTCTGTATCAGTCTTGCAGCTTGAACTGATTCCCTTTCAGCTCTCATTTCTTCCCTTAATTTTTCTACTTCTTCTCTTGCTTTCCTCTCATTCTCTAAAGCAAGGACCAGTTGATCACTCAGGCTCTGGAAGGAGAAGAGAATATTATATCTTTACCATTATCATATGTTTCTTGTCTTAACCCCATAACAATGATACTGGCTAATATAATGCACTCCCCTTATGGGCCCTCTTCAGGGATTATGAAACATAAAATGATTAGAATGACAAGAACATAGACTGCGAATAAGAATTCCAACTGGCATGGTTAAATAGAACTTAAGGTGACTCGACTCAGTTTTTTTGGGGGGGGTACCATCCTACTTTGAAGCTCTCTGGTATCCCCACCTTTACTTTTATCGTAAGTCTAACACATAGAATAGATAAGGTATAGATCAATCTACAATATAACATAAAATTTTTGGCGATCGGTCATTGCACGCGTGCTGAACAAGAATGCTGTATAATGAAGGGCTAGAAACAATAGACAACTCCCAAAGCACAAACTCAGCCAATACGCTAAAAATCTTCAATGTTTACTCAAGTTTGGGCTTATAGAAGATAATGTCACGGTTTTTCAATGACCATGAAATTCAGAGTCCGGGTAGTTAGTTAATCCATTGTGGCCCTGAAAAAATTTGAAGGAAAAAAAACTACGAATTTTTAAGAAAATGCTTTTTTCGTGAGAAAGACTCTTAAACGCTGACAAACGTCAACAAATAGCGAAAACTGTAATTTCTATATGTTTGCTTTGCTCGAAATCGCGCGCATTTACAAGGCCCTAAAGCGTTTTGCTGACTTGCAAGGACCCATCTGTTATTACGATGCCCAAAATAAAGAGATGAATCTCATAGTTTATTAGATATAATCCGTGTAAAGTTTGTTTATCATTTTCGCATAAATTATGACCTAAATTTGGAAACCGCTGAATTTCTCGAATTGGGTCTTTGCGATTTTGGTGAAACTCTGTTCAGCGCAAGGCACTAATGCGCACTATGTGTAGCCGAGAGAATTTCACGAAAAAATGCCGGCAACAGCAGATTTTTGACTCAGACCTCAAAGGGGCGTGGCATTATAACCACGTGACATTTACTCCGATCGCCAAAAATTTTATGTTATATTGTAGATTGATCTATATGTTATCCATTCTATGTGTTAGACGTACGATAAAAGTAAAGGTGGGGATACCAGAGAGCTTCAAAGTAGGATGGTACCCCCCCAAAAAAACTGGGTCGAGTCACCTTAAGTTACCAATCTTGATCAAGCCTACACAGCAACCTTATGCACTGCTCCCCTCCCACAGAAAGAAAGATATAACAAGGATGACTACCTTGATAAGTTAATGCTGTGACCTTAAGATACACTGTCTTTGCCTACGGGTATGGGGGGGTGAACATGTCTGGGGGGTAGCTAAATAAAGGTAGCCATCATTTCCCAGATGTGATAATGGTGTTACTGTTCTACCAGCCTACCCGCATTTCTCCGGTGTAGGAGGCAATTTACTTGTATTGTGTAGTTCCAGAAACTGTCCACTCTTCACCCCCCTTTGACGGAGGGCACTTTTACTTTAGACCCAGACCCTTCGGGAATTTCCTTTTCCAGAGGCTGCTTGTCACGCCCTCCTACACCCTGGAATTTCCGTGAGTTTTCATCTTGGTTGAGTACCCCCTGGAAAGAATATTTCTGTTGCACTTTTTTAATAATATTATGCGAAATGCAATTGTTTCTCCGATAAAGTGAGAAAAAAAATTTATTCATGTTTATATAATCCAGAGCAATCAATGCACTTATGGAGGTCTTTCTTAGCTAACAATGAACGGTAAGCCACTGCCTGAGAACCATGGAAGCGATACCTTACACTACACGAATGATGCTATCTGTAAAAGAACCAGTTACATTCAAATTAAACACCAAGTGAACTTCAATTACTTTCTTTCAGTTAAAACATTGTAGGAGATTAGGCTTAGAACACGACAATATTACGGTGAACACCACAATACCGAATAGCGTGATAAAGCAATAGCTAGATAACCGAAGTTTATTCAAGAGCCGATGACAATTGTAATGAAAAAATATCGTATAAGCCATATACATTAATTCTAATATGGTTTATTCCTAGCGTACAAAAGTGAGAACTATTGGCGTATTAAAGCTACACAAAACGCAGGAACAAAATCTTTTTAAAGTCCCCCTCACATCCATTCACCTGGATTGAATCTCTGCTTGGGCAAATTAATCTGTCGGCAACATTCTTGAGTCCTATACTTCTTAAAGACTCAGGCAATATTCCAGCTGTTTCGTCCCTTCCCTCTTGGCCCATCCATTGAACTTTTTCATCTATGCTGTATCCTAAAAACAGTTTTAACCATATTACAAGCGTTGGCCGGTCGCTACTTTACGGTTGCGGCAAATTACTACGAAAGTGACTAGCCTCCTACGCAGACGTTCTTGGGGCAATTAGTGACCCTAACAGTATAAAAAAACCCTAGGATGCCTAATAACAACAACAATAATAATAATAATAATAATAATAATAATAATAATGATAATAATAGAAATGCGTGTATCGCAGAACCACGCGAAGCTCGGGGGGGGAGCGTCACGCCCATAAAATGTCAGGGATGGAAGGGGGAGAGAATTGGAGTAAATTGTGAATCTAGGGAGGGCGAGTTTCAACACTGGCTCTACAATTGGAAGGTGAGATGTAGTTAATCGCCTTTTGGTTGGAGTAACTTTCAACCCAGTGCTCTTTATTAAAAAGGATTTTCTGGGATTTAAATGGGGTTAGTGTTGTTAAGGAAGGTAGCCATTGTTTCACAGGTCCCGTGTTCACCGCATTTGACTCTCCTATTGTGTAATTATAGGAAAAGAAAATGGGTGTGATAATGAATGACTGCAGGCGAATATGCAGCTAACACATGCTATCTTTAATGTGTAATAATAGACACTTGTGAAGTGTGTCACTAGTAGTCAGTGGATGAAATGGTAGGAGATAATGCTGCAGAGAAAATAACAAGTAAATGCTGTAATTGGAGAAAGAAATATTTATTGTTAAGTGAATTACCGCAAGAGAGTGTTTGCACTGGTTGTAGTACATTATCACACTTGACAACTAATATATTGTTTGTAACAGTAAGGTGTAAACTTAATCACTTACACCAAAATAGAAATTACATGTAGCAATGTGATATTTTTCCTATTTGACCCCGTTTTTTTCCTGTTTTCCCAACTGCGGAGCCTGGTCCCAGGCTATGTCATTAACAGGGGCGGATCTAGGGGGAGGGTGCATGGGGTGCCCCCCCTGAGATGACCTGCGGTTTTCTAATACAACTGGTATTCTGCCAAAAAAAAAAACTATGTGGTTTATTGGAGTTGAAGTAGAGCAAGAGACGAGTGCAACCCCTTCTAAAAAAAATCCTGGATCCGCCCCTGATTAAGGATGCAGTTGGGGAGAACTACGAAAGTGATCATGACTCATGATTATTGAATATCCGGTACCCTCATTAGCACTGAATTATAATAATAATAATAATAATAATTAAAAATTCATAACGCGCGCGCCTTTTCCATGCAAATATGATCAAAAGCACGTGACAACACGTAAATGTTAAAAGAAAATAAAAGCTCAAATGAGCAAAATAATTAAGGCTAAGAACAAAGAACGCTAAAAATTAAATAAAGATAAAAAACACTAAATATATTACATAGTAGGTTAAAAAATTACATGTCAAAAGCTAGTCTAAAAAGATACGTTTTAAGTAAAGATTTAAAACGTTCAAAATTGTCCTCAAGACGGATGTGAAGGGGCAGATTGTTCCATAAATTAGGGGCAGCAGATGAAAAAGCACGATCCCCTAAAGTCTTTTTCAGTTTTAGACTAGAATACTTTAAGATAAGACCGCTAGCTGAACGAAGATTATAGCGCGGCTGTTCTTTAATAGCAATCAAATCGATCAAGTAACCAGGCGGGTGACCGTAGATAGCTTTAAAAGTAAAAAGAAGTATTTTAAAATCAATACGAAATTTGACAGGAAGCCAATGTAACGAACATAGTACTGGTGTTATGTGACTGTAGCAAGGGACATTAGATATAAGCCGAGCAGCTGCATTCTGTAAGCGTTGCAGTTTAAGTAGATGAACAGAGGGTAAACCAAATAGAAGGCTGTTGCAGTAATGTATACGACCAATTATCACTGTAAAAAATACCAATCATTTATGAAAGTGTTTATAGTTCTTTATGTACATGCATGAGAAACAAATACTCGTGCAAGAGTGAATTTGTATGAAATGTCCACATACAAGTAATGCTGAAGGTGATCAGTATTTCAATTCTCAACAGGCATGAGCTTGTTGAGACATGGTTGCCAGAGGCATAGTTTTTTAAATTCCCAGACTGACAGTCAAATGTACACTTTCCCTGACCAAATGAATTGACAATTTGTCCAGATATTAATGGTTCCAAATTCCAGTCAAAACTTCGTGTACTGGAAACAGATAATGTAAAACAAAAGACTTCTTTGTTTTCTGTTCTGGGAAAATCTGCTGGGTATGTTTTCATGGTTACTTGTTCTTTTGTTTTATGTCATCTGTGTCTGGTACACAAAATAAATGCCCAAACTCCCATCACAGCCATACTGTCCACCTATTTAATACATAAATTTATCGTAAATGTAAAGTGAAGAATGGATCGATCTCCTGAGAAACCCTATATCTGCTTGTCGTTTGATTTCTTGATACAATATTCTGCAAATGGAACATGCTTAACTTCGGTGAATATGCAGGAATATGTCACCTCCCTCTGGCTTCTTTGAAACAGTTACATTTTCTCTGACTTATTCTGAGATTCCCTGACTTGACTTACGGGGAATGATTAATTTTCCTGGCATGGTAACACATGTCACACACTAATATTGTGAGGAGATCCGAAATCAGATGTTCTTTTCGAATCTTAAATAGGATCGAAAAATAGGAGGCCAGCAATAATAAATTTTTGCTATGCTTCACTTAAAAGACACAGCTTATGTATAACGCTGCTATACATTGAAAATATATTTTACTTGGGATGGTTTTGGGGAAGTAAATGTAATGAAAATTGTAAACGAAAATTTTGTTCAGCAAGGATTTTGTTTACAAATGTAACGCTTCCCTAAACATGTCACACATTATCGGTGTTCTAAACTGTTCATTGTAAAATAAAGCTTATGTCAAACCCATTGTTGCTCATGGTGTAAAGGCTGATCGGCTGTCCCAAGTCCGTTGGAAAGATACTCTTGACGTACATATTATTCTTGCTGCCTATATCGCTGCATCGAAGAAGATAATTTTGACTATAAACTTTAAGCGTTGCCTGATCCAGTCTCGTCGCTTTTTTGAAGCGTCGGCAGTCGGTATTCCCTCTCTTCATCGGTTTCGTTTCGTTTACAGTATAATTATAGTATTTTGTCGCTGCTTCTGTACACGTTTGTGGCCGCTGTGTTGACGACGTTGCCTTCGCTGTGCTAAGCGATGTTCTCTCTGCTTAGCGGTTGTCTTCTTCGATCCGCTCGTCGATGAATTTTAATCGGCGTTCTCCAGAGGAGTTTCAATGGAAAATCTTCCTCGGCGAGGATTTGCAGCCACTTGCTGTGCTTGCAGCTCTCTGTCATTAGCATGGGAAATTGTTCGTGATTCACTGATTGTAAACATCAGGGGTAAACAATGTTTCACAGAAGATGAATAAACACAACAGCCTTTCATGAATAATACATGAAATGCACCCTAGTCATCGGCGGCAAAGTCTATGTTGCCTGGAAACGCAAAATGCTCCATGACGAAACGCTACATGACGTCATTGGCGGACACCAAGAATATAATCATAGATTTATGGGGCATCGAATTTTGAAGCTGGCTAAGCCCACTCGCGGTTAGCAGACTGTGCGCGCGCTTCGCGAGCGACGAGATTATAAAGTCGCTACGCTCGGAATTAATTATAATAATAATGATAATAAGCGTGTGTGATTTTAAATGGCGGGAGCTCGCTAATTTAGTTAAGTTGAGATGAACCGTTTTTTAATTGATTTTTTTTTCGAATATATATCATAATTTTAATGGAATGAGTTTTTTCAATCGAAATTGGGTGTCCTTTTTTGAATCGAAAGGAACTGTAAATAGTGCTTTGACTGAATGGTTTTTTAAGTGAAATTAATTGTAAATAGGATTTTATAGTTAGCTTTGTTATCGATAAAAGAATTTTGATTTAAATAATAATAATAATAATGATAATAATAATATTATTATTATTTATTATTATTATTTACGATGATGACGTCTTTATTGAAAATAACACCCACAAGCATACGTGTGAGTCAATAATAGCAGAATACTATACACAAAATATAACATGTTAATTGAAAATCTAACTAAAATTAAAAAGACATCTATTGATGAAACATCGCTTGAACCTTTCATTCCTAACAAGTGACAAAACGTAATCGTGGTAATGTCTCTATTTCGCATTTCAACATTAGAATATGATCAAATACGCATTACACTGATAAGGATGAGACGAAAACATAAGATATACTACACACCTAAACTGATACCAAGACAGCAATTAGCTGATGTCATTCATACCCGGCCCTCCCCTCCCACTTCATACTACTACACTACAAACTATAGGTGCGGTTACACAGGAAACTTATACCTTGGTAAATGACCCTTTTACCGCGGGAAATTGGCGTGGTGCGTGTGACCAGACTTTCCCGAGATAAATTTACCAAGGGAAATATCCGTGGTTACGCCCATGATATTAAACATGGTAAATCGCTAGGGTTTTTCGATACCCCAGGCAAGAGAGCCAATCAGGTTTCTTTATTTGACACCAACTTGAAACCGCAAAAAAATTGCTTTTTTCAACGTTTTTCTCTCGTGCTGTTTAGAGAAAAATCGATGTTGACAATTATGCAGATTTCACGTTACGATAAAAGTAACAGGGAAATATGTATAGGTAATAGCATGATTTGTCGTGATATTTGGCATAAATACCACGAGTGATATTTCAAAATTGTTATACGTAATTTCACGAGCCGTTAGGCCAGTGAAATTTGAGACGATTTTGAAATATCACAAGTGGTATTTATGCCAAATATCACGTACAAATCATGCTACAGTATGTTGCCTAGTATCCGGACACTTCAGTTTAAGATTGCAATAACTTTCCTTTCTTAATCGCAAGAGCTCTGAAATTTGGCCTAGAGAAAATCTATTTAGTTCTTAGTATGACGAAAGACAGTTTAACTTTTTTGCCTTGGTTTCCATCGCGAAATTAATATTTTTGCAGAGCTCCTATGTTGCCCAGTATCCGGACAGCTGGCCCAGTATCCGGACACAACAATAACAACGTAACTGTACATAAATTTCGACGGGCAAGCGACTTATAAGCTTCTCTTGCACTTGCAAAGTAGTCTGGCAATCGATTCCAAAAATATAACCTAGCATCGTGAAATAAAACATAACAAATGACCGGAGTATGGTGGGGAACGCGAGCGGCTGTTTTAAAAGTCGTATAATTCTTACTTCCTTGTCTAGGAACTTTTTCACTGATTTGGACATACCGAAGCCGCAGTTTGTAAGCTCAATTAGCCAATCTGCAAACGACTTTTTTTCTTCATTTCTTATTTAAAAAAAAGCTTGGGGAAGGGACCTCAATCTGACGGTCAAAGGTCACTCACCTATTTAGTCTGACCTGCAGTGTTGATTTCTTCATGCTCAGTCCCCACAATAAGCCTGCTTTTCTGGCACTAATTCCTCCTTCTTTCACATCTCTCAATCCCTTTGGGACATTTTTCAGACCGTTGCAATCCCATTCTAGCAGTCACAACTGGGGAAAGTATGAGAATTCCAGGTTCAACTCAGATGCTTTCGGTTATACATAGAAAATGCAGTCACGCGAAACAAGCCGTGCACACGAAATCACGTCGCCTCTGAATGAGTGAAGAAAATTTCCATAGGGAGTTGAGTAGAATTACATTTTACGACTATATCATATATCCTACGCTTTAATTATAGTTACTGATATGAAATAAATCTTATCCGGATAATGTGCACAGCTAAATCATCGATTCTGTACAGCAAGGAAAAAACTGTCCGGATACTGGGCACCTAACATCAATACTTCGTGACTGTTTCTGGCCTCCGTTATTCCAAACAAATCGAATTTTAAGAAGAATTAATAAACTTTCTGAAAACCTGACTTCCTTAAGTATCTTCACTTCAAAAATAAATCAGTTTCTTTGAAAATATCACACATTACCCTCCCTTTTCTGAGCAGCACTAATTTTACTGCGCAGTAAACAGCGTAAATATTAGCCATAGAAAGAATGCTAACAGTTGGGAGAGCGCCGGTCTGCTGAGCGGGAGGCCGTAGGTTCAAACCCCGGCCGGACCAACACTCAGGGTCTTTAAATAACTGAGGGGAAAGTGCTGCCTTTGTAATAACATCTGCAAATGGTTAGACTTTCTAGTCTTCTCGGATAAGGACGATAAACCGTAGGCCCCGTCTAACAAGCCCTTGCACATGTAATAAATCTGTGGGACGTTAAAGAACCCACACACTCTTCGTAAAGAGTAGGGCACATAGTGCACGGTGTAGTGGTCTATCTCATTTTCACACTCATGTATGGGGGCATCATCACTCATTCCTTCAGTACATGTAAACTGCACCTTAAGCAGTCTGGCAAAGTCCCCCAACCAGTGTTGTAAATTATCCCTGAAAAGCCCTATGGGGAGTGGATAATAAGATATTTACAATTTACAATGCTGGCCTAAAAGAAAGGGAAAACCTTTTTGCGATCCATTTTATGTTTTCAAAGGTGTAAACATCAGGTAAACAGTCTATAACTCTTTCTTGGAACTCGACAGGTTAAACCAGCTATCTCCAGTGGGTTGTAGAATTTGACGATGGCAAGATTTACGTAAGATTTAATCGATTTCTCGTCCGTACGATCATCATCAAGTGACCTTACATCTTACTTAGAAGAGTATTATCTTGCTGTAACTTTAAGGGCCGATAATTACGACTGCATGAATTATTAATTTCTTTACAAGGAAAAGTATAGAATTAAAATGTTATGACTGCGTGTTTTTGTGCATCGCGTTGATTGCATATTTATCCAACAAACGTTTTTGTAGCTACTGCGTGTTAAACGCCTGTTATATTGAGCGCAGTCGACTTTAAAAAGGAATAGCAAACTAAATCTCATTGTACTTACGAAACTGCAAATAAAAAGGACCGCTAACTTTGCTATCATGTACTATAATTTTCATTCGTTCTATTTGTGTGTACACAATCAAATACTACAAGATGGTATTTCAAGCTCGGAGAATAAAGGTGAAAGATGAAATGTTCATATGAGAATGGGACAAAGAAAAAGTACGAGTCACCTTCAGCGACAAAGATCTTTCTCATTTCGAATTGACTCGCGTTATACCAAAAACCATTCATTGCTTAAGCTTCGAATTTCGTGCCGTTCTCGATCCAGACCAGGCCCAACTTTTCTGACCTTTGTGACCTCAAAAACGTCCGCTGGTGAAGGTGGCTGAACACAGTTTTGCGAGCGGTCAGCGGTAGGGCGTGTTTTAAATTAGACAAACAAACATGGCGGCGAAAAAATCAATGGTACACAGAAGACGATAACTCGAAATCTACTTATTAAAATTTTGTGATATTTGACAGAATTTTTACTTTTATCGCATTTTTAATAATGAGAACTTTAAAATGAAGTTGAACGGACGAATTTTGTGACACATTTAATAATTACAGTACAATTATATTATTGATTACCCAAAAACCCGTCTGTTAAAATTTGGTCAAATAAGTTTCAAATGGTAATGATTAATCATAGTAAGCGGTGTGCAAGTTTATAGGAAAATCTACCAACAAATCGAGTTCTCAGAAGCTTAAGACAAAAAAAGGTAGCTGCGCGCCCTGTGCGGGCCGCAAATAGAAGATTTGCGGATATTCTCCAAGACTTAGGATGAGATACCCTTGAGCAAAGACGCTCTAAGCAGCTTGCAATAAGTGTTTTTAAATCTCTGAATAACCTTTACATCGAGAGATTAACGAACGTGTTTAAACCAACTTCCCGGGTTCATTCCAACAACGTACGAGGCGCCTTGAACAATTTTTTTGTACCTAGGCCTCGTACTGAAGGTGCTAAGCGGGCTTTAAGCTATATGGGGGCAGTCGTGGAATGGCCTAGAAAAAGAGCTAAAAGATAAGATAAATCTCAACTCTTTCAATTCTGCCCTGACTTATATATATATACTTTAGCGTAGTTTCTCTTAAAATTTGTTACGTGAACGGCTCACTGAAAGAGCACTTTTAATGAAGTGACACCGTGAATAAAGCTTGATTGTTGTTACTGTTGTTGGTCAACCAAGCCATTCCAGAAAATGAGGACTAAACCTAATTTGACTGACAGTACGGCATGTTAGGTTTCTTAAACTTTGTTGTGCTTCCTTTCATTAAAGGTATTTGAAATTATGCCTAATGTCTTATTTTAACATGAATTTTACCCGTTATATTAAAAAGGCTTGAGTCTCGCGTGTTCAACATAACCGCGTTCTAATAAGTGGTTTCTCAATTTGAACAACCTCGACATCTAAAAGCCGTCTACTGTTTCAGGGACATGCCACTCCGTTTAAGAGTGCTTATGAAAGGGTGTCCAAGTGCCATAGATATAATAACAATAGGAGGAGGCAAAATGAGAGCCTTTTATGGCCAATTTTATTTTCATACCAAAGACAAGGGCCAACAAGATTGTTAATCTTACATTACAGCGTACAAGTTAAAAATTATAAGAAAAACATTTTTTCTAAACTTTATAGTACTTGCCTAAACATGCTTTGTTTTTTCTTTTGTTCCCCGCCCACTTATGGTGTCTTTTCAATTCAGGTTTGAGAAACAATAGTTTCCCGCGCATTTTATTCCTGACCCATTTATTAATTTGTTTGTTGCCCACTTTTGCTGCCCCCCAAAACTGCTAATTCTCCTTGGACAATACTTTTGTTTTAATTTGCCAATTTACGTTCAAAAATGCAATAAAACTCGGAACTTAGGTACTCCGTATTAGATACAAGCATTGTAATTTTCATAGGACTTCATGTAGACAGAACTGCTTGCAGTTTGTTGAGGATTACGGCTGGAAAACACTTGTGTCTGTGTTTGTTTGTTTTTGCGTTTTAGCATTTGCGACAAGCTGCCCAGATTCACTATCGCAGGATTCAAGGAAAACAAGTATTCTTGCGATCAAAAAATTGATTTACAAATACAAACGTAGATTTTTGTTTTAACATCGAAAAACTGAACGGCAAATATCGACGGGTCCGTTTTATCAATACCTCTCCCCTGATTTTGCAACACGCGCAAAAATTGCCAATGAGTTAGAAGTTACAACATTAAAAGAATCAGAAAAATTACAGACCTTGCTTTTCACGATCTCTCTATAAGCTCAGTGATTGAGCCTTCCATCCGTAAGACGGTCAAGGCTTAGATTCCCGATAAGGACTTGAAAGTTATTATTTGTTTGAAAGATACAATACATTTGGTATTACTAAATAACTTCATACTTAAACACATGTATCGCTAAGTAAACATAATGATAGACAGATGAAGTGAACAAAATATACTGAAGCCTACATTTTTTTCAAGGTTCTTCTAGTTGAGCAATTATTTTTCCTTACCTTTGCAGGTGCCTATCTTATTCAAACCATCGTCAGAATCAGAAATTCCTTTCTCTGAATCAGAAGATAACGTTTCACCATCAGCGGAGTATCCTGTTTCCGTGATATCGTCTTCCCCAATTTGATTGAATTCCTTGTCAGAGGAAGGTTCTATCACTGACGAGAAGAAACATGCCAACCAAGTTAAATTGGTATCTGTGGCTGCTTTTTAAAAGAATGGTTGTAATAAGGTTGAACTCATGTCGCGTTCGAGAACATTTGGGCACATGCAATAGTTCTGACTCCTACAGTCAAACTTCTACTACTTACGGCCACCTGTCTACATAAGACACATCTGTTTGTCAACTCTCTATAATGACCACCACTCCACACCGACAACGATCACTAAATTGCGTCCCAGCTGCCAAAATAGAGAGCTTAAGCAACCTCGATGAGGAAGGCAACTACACTACGTTAAAAAAAAATTGGTCGGTTATTTAAACAAGTCCAACTTAGACGCGGTTTAAGAAATCATAGACACTTCAGATCTATTCCCAAGTGGGTAATTTTAAGAAGATAAAAGCCTTTCTACACTAGATGATTAGTAAGAAACTGTTCATAATAAACGGGGTTTAGATAAAAGAGTTGGGCAAACTGTAAATGGCTTAGAACGACGTTTTGTGAAATACTGGCTGGTTTAAATAACTGGCCCAATAGGTATTATGGGCAAAACAACAGCTCTGCACGTGCATCACCCTTTTCAGTGCATTTCTTTTACGTCCACTGCACGACTACAACGTTGAAAATTCCTAATGCGACGTTTTATGGAAGACTTGAACACAGGACGGCGGCTCTCCATTCTATTTTCGAATCTGGATACCGTTATTAGGAATTCAACTCCTCCAGGTAAAGTCGCCCACACATGACAAATTGAGCGGGCTTAAATAAACACAATAAGTTTCAAGGTGTGAGTCATTATGCGATTCTAGCCAGCTGACGCGTTGAACAGGATTGTAAGCTTTTCTTGTAACGAAAACACTTAGTTTGCGGCACGTGTAGTTTTCGGAGGCCGGACATTCCTGCGGCGAATAATCGACATCACGAACACTTTGTCGCGACCACATCACCACGTGCACATTAACACGTCCCTGACAGCCGATTTATCATGGTGGGCAAGTTTTCTAAGTGTCTTTAATGGCAAAGCGTTCTTTGTTGATTAAACACCAACCGCTTTGGAAGAATTCTCTTGCTCGTATCCTATCCTCCTATCGGAGGAGGAGGGTTCTTTCAGGGAGATTGGGTTTACACCAACTGGGCTACTGACCATCCCGATCTAACAGACGCGCATATCAACCTCAAAGAAACCTGTGGATTGTTGTCCACACTGATAACCAAACGACTATCAGCGCATTAAACAAAGGCAAAAGTCGCAACCCCCAAGTTATGCAATGGTTGCGCTCCACAGTTTGGCTCTCTTCTACTAAAAATTTTCGAATCACCGCGCGTTACATCCCTTCAAAGGCTAACACCGTTGCCTACGCCATCACACGCCTTCATGACCCTACACTCTGCAGAATGCTACAGGACCTTTTCCACAACCGTCTTCTAGCGTTCGACCGCCAAGCTTAGGTTTCACTGTCAGCTTTCTCTTCTCTTCTATGACAGGTGCAGTCCATACTCAGGAGCAGCTACTACAGGAAGAACTGAGAATGAACCGCAGCCATGCCTTTGCCAAATCCACAGCATCAAGTTATAAGTCGCAGCTACGAGCATACCTTCGCCTCTGTCTCTTCTTCGGCTATACTCCAGTTCCCTGCCTCGCTATCCACCTCCTCTGTTACATTGTCTTCCTCGCCGGAACACTCTCTACTAGCAGCATTTTCAATTATCTCAACGTTGTTCGTCTTTTAAACCTGCAGTATGGCTACCCTAACCCTCTTGAAGACCCCTTATTCAAGCATCAGAAAACTCCCCTCATGAGAGGCATAAAGCGAATTAATGGAGAACGTGTGACGCAAAAGCTACCTATTACACCGGATGTTCTTCACAAAATGCAATACCATTTACATCTTGATTCCTCGTTTGACGCCACCTTTTGGGTAGCATGTTTGGTAGCATTTTTCTCCTTCTACCGCAAGTCAAACTTACTGCCACTTTCCATCACGGAATCTGATACCAAGCGCCAATTGCGAAAATGCGATGTTCGATTGTTCCTGTGGGGCATCTTTCTTGTTGTTAGTTGGTCTAAAACGATCCAATACCGAGATCGCACCCTCCTAGTTCTAGTTCCTAAGATTGCTCACTCCTCCTTGTGTCCTTGGTCAGCGGTAACTCGCGCTTTCAAGCTTGCGGGTGTTTATCAAAGTAACAAATCTGCTTCAGAACCCGCTTTTACGTATCTTAAACCTCAGTCCCTGTTGTGTTTTACGCGTTCCCATTACCGTCACTGTCGCAGTGGTAGATTCGTGGGGTCCCCAATAACCTCTCCTGAACGGCCATTTAAAAGCAAACGCTGTACAAACAAATGTACTCCTTACCCTAAATCACATTGTTTTGCAAACATTTTTCTTTGAATCCGAGTTTCTGGTTTATTGATATAGTCAGTTTCATACTTCTTCGTATTAACATGCTATAATAAGCATTCTTCAAAACCCTCACCGTCCTAAAATACATCCTTCCCTTCCCATAACAGCCACCTTTCTCCAACGGCCCCATGCCTCTGTCCCCAAGATTGCCGTTGTAAAGAGATTGATCGATTAGTCGTTCATCAAGCGCCTAATGTTTACTGGGCACTCCAAAAACACGGCCTCACCCACCTAACACGAGTTCTTCGACAACTAATTAAATTTCTTCTGAAAATGTCTCTCTTCCGCTCGGCTTTGAGCAATAGGGATGTCTTAATATCCGACTTAGATGAGGGCCGTTCTTTTAGATAAGATCGACTTAATCAGTTATCAAACGATTATTGAGAAGATAAATTATAAGAGAGAAAAATACGCGGTTCAGATGCTAGCAACGGTAAGCAATCTGTTTGGAAAATGAAACGACAGCCTGTAACTTACCAGACTGATTTAGTTCAAGTTCCTCAAAAGCGTTTGTCAGTTCAAGCCAATCAATCGTTGACTGATCTGGGCTGGTGCTTTGCTCTTCTGAATACCTGACACAAAAAAGTCCACTTCACACATTTGGAACTCAACAAACAAGAACAACACATTTAAGCGGTAGCTGTCTGTTACCGTAAGAGACAGCTACCGCTTAATTCTTTCTTAAATCGTAAGGATGAGAATAAACTTGCCAAAGTATGGCAAGTTTATTCTCATCCTCACCCCATAAGGGCTCGTTTAGTCGGTCGTTTTCCTGCAGAATACGAATTACTGTAGGAGACTTAAAAGAAATCCTAGTCCCTTTTTTAACATATCTGTTCAAGTTATTTATTGAGAACATAGAAAGAAATTGTTCCTCAGATCTGTTTTGCTTTTGCTCACGTTTTCGGCAATGAAAGGTAAAAAAAAATGTATTTTGTTTTGTGTAAAGTAATATGTAAAAATTAAAATCAATCAAGTATTTTTTTTAAAAAATGGCCATTTTTGCATTTTCATTACATATTGTCAGGCAGACCTAAAGTAGCATTTATGTTTATCCAGGCCCAGAAAACCGAAGCTATAAGGGATTGAATCGTACATAAATCCTCAGCTAACCTTTTTGTTATGTCTCGGAGATATGCTGCAACCTTTCCGTAACCATTTTCCTCTGCGATGTCTTCTGGTAAAGAAGAATCTCCTTTGTAGGCCTCAAAGACAACTCTTCCAGCTGGCAAACTAAAGATCGTTTCAATGAGTCCCATGGCACCGGCTTCTGCTGCTGCGTAAACCAACGGTTTCAAAATGCGGTCTGGATCGAGTTGTTTTTCTTGATCTAAAGGTCCTATAAAACAATTACCAAAAAGGCAGCTTTGTGAATAATACATCAGCATGTTTCCTTTCGCCGCTAGATATACACAACACTTCCATACTACGTTTGTATGTACTAACACGATATTCTACCAGTCTTATCAATTTCTATTATATACACACCCGATGATCTTGGTGATTTAAGCAATCTGATTGGTTCACTATCTCGGACTATCCAAAAAATATTCACCTCCTAGCGAGTGGATAATGTGTGAGCTCGGTTCTTTCCCCATTTTTTTAAGAGAATGATCTTTTAAAAGTCGACAAGGCAAGAAAAGACTTCAAAGGATTCAAAACGGCGTTTTTCCATTTACTGTAGCTGAGTTTTGTGCTCGATGGATTGTTTACAACTCCCGTTTATTCGCGTAGAAGAGGCCGTTTCGTGAACTCACCGTTTCCTAACAAGAAACATTTGGCTCAAAAATCGAAGTTTATTTATGAAAAATAAATTTGAAAGCAAATGTTTTCAGAAATTCTACGTTTCAAGTAAATAGGAGAAAGAATGCTATAGGAAGACGACGTCTTACCTCGAGAAACCGAGCCGCCATTTTTGTCAGCACTTCATACGAAGAACGACATAACAAACCTTTTTGGCTATGAACTTGGCGAGTCAACAGAAAACAACAAAGCCCTACTTTTCTTCTTAGGTAAGGGAACAATTCAAACTTTTAACGGCGGTTCCATTTAAGCCATTACGCTGTTGTTTGCGAAGTGATAAACTTGAGAATTGCCATGTTTGAAAATTCTGCAAAGATCTATTTTTAAACATACGCGTGGTTTGATCCGTCAATCAAATCGTACCTTTTAATGGTTTCCTCTCTGATTTTGTTGAGATCACTTTGTGTGTATATACTAAAACAATTATTCTTTTCAATCTCGGTGAATAGTGGCTATGGGAATATTTACCTCGCCGTTTTCGCGGCTCAGTAAATATATATATCCACTATTCACCTCGATTTCAAAGAATAATTGTTAAATATGTAACAACGCTAAAACTATTTTCCTTTAATCTATATCCAAACTGAGTGTTGCGGTAAAAACAAGAATACGTTGCTATTTCCATTTAATAATTTCTCCTTTCACTTGTTTTCCTAAATTCGCCTTCAACTACATATCTACAAACACCTATCAAAACGACGATTTAAATACTAAGCAAAACTAGTTAGGATTGGGATTAGTGACATAGTGTAACTCTTAATTCTTTGACCTCGTAGTCTGGAGAAGAAAGCTAACATAAAACTACACCAACAGAAACATTATTTCAAAAGTTATAACCCAAGCACAGACACAAGAAAAAGCTATAGGCATAATCATGTTGAGGGAAATGGGTACAAGGCTCCACTGCCACGCACCTTCCACAATGGAAGTAAACCCCGATGGAGTGTTGCTTAAACATTTTGCACGACCACCGAATATGTGGCCATATTTTCTATGCTGTCACCTATCGACAACTTGAATTTGATCGATTTTCGTGTAAAATCGATGTAAAATGTAAAAAAATCTCAAAAACAAAAACACAAAAATCTCGCGCTTTTAACATTAAAAAAGGCTTGGTATAATTTCTGTTTTATTACCTACAACGTAGGTCTCGAAGTTTTTTCCAAACTGAGCGGGTAATATAAAGGGCAAAGGATAAAGGGTCCTTAATTTACGTCCACAGCTTGAAATAGTCGTTATCTAACTACTAACCCAAAGCCGACAGTGCGCTCATTTTACCCCCCTCTCTCCATCAGAAGTCGAAACAAGGATGGAGATCAAACCCGCCAATAGAACTCGGGAACTCTGACATTGAAGGCCGCGCAATAACAAACTGAGCTGTGCAAGTCTTTGTTCCGTTTGCAAAGGTAGGTCAAAAATTGCGTCAGGAAGACTGACGTCAAAACTCGACGAAAATTCGAAGGATCCCCTTCAAGCACATCATGCTTGTAGTATTTTTCAACGAACGGGAAATGAGCGACACCTAATTCAGTTTCAGATTGTTTGCTATAGTATTCAAAAGATAAATGAATAAAATACTATATTTTTAAACCTTTAGCAGAGAATGGAACTAACTTTCTTGAACTCTTGTAAAATCGATCTTATCCTCAAAGACTCATGCATGCTTTTTAAAGTGGAGATCACAAGGTGTCCCTTAGCCTGAACAAGAGAGAACGATCTAAGCTCTTGGCCTGAAGTAATATGGAAATTGCAAATAAATGTCTTGTAATATCACAGGTACCCGCACTATGTGCATTTCTGGACATAAGTCAAAAAATCGCAGCACTAAATATAACCGAACAAACCTGTTTTCCTTATTCTTCTACGTTAATTTATAAAAGAAAAGATATTTTAACTCTCTCGTAATTCTTTTTAGTTACCTTGTTGAAAAGCTGATTTCAGACTTTCCTCGCCGTCGTCGCCTTGTTGAAACTGTTTAAGCTTCTTCGCGAAATCTTTAACGATAGCAGAAAGTTCGTCAACCTTTCTTTTATTGGAAAGTCCTTGGTTGTTTCTTTTTTTCTTTGGATTCTTGTACGTGAAGACTGTCTCTCCTAAACATTCTCCACTCTCTGTAGTAACTGTTACAGTAACGAGTCCAGGTCGTCCAGCTAAATGAAGACAAAGAGGTGTTAGGTCATAAGCAAAACATGACGCGATTTTTATGGAAAGCACACCCGGCTAGCGTTTTTGTTTACATACATTTCTCGAAAAATTGAGCCATTTCCCGCGACTGGCCAAAATTCCAAAAAGCCTGAACATTGCTTCAAAGCTGAGAAAGAAAAGCGTGGAAAAAGAAAGAAAGGAACATACGTGGCAATCTAAGTTTTTCTACTGAATGGCTACCTTGGAAAGAAGTATTGGAACTGATTAATCAAAAGTGAATTTTCCGTACTATGGCAACTTTTTGAAAATTCACTGGGAGAATAAAAAACAAGAACTTGGCCGACTGGGTTGGAAAGGGTCTGAATCGAAAAGCCATTTTCAAGTATGTAATGACAATATGACACTCAAAGAATTCGTTGGAAACATCTAACTGGACATGAAGAAAGGCATTCCTTACCGAAAATTATACCGCCTTCAGAGTTTTGACCGGAATGACGCCATAACGCGCCAAGGTAGTTTGGGTCCGATAAACAGGAAAATCATGCCAGAACAGGAGAAGGAACAACCTCGTTCCCAGGGTTCTCTCCTACCCGCCCTGAGAACCTGGGAACGAGTTTGGAAAAGGAATACCGAAAAACAGGAAGAGGGAGGAAAATACAGAGAATTAGTGAATGGATTTACGTTGCGAAAATTTAACACAATATAAATGATGGAAAATATTTAATCATATTTGCCTCTAAAGGCGTTTGCGGAGGGGCTAAGGATTAATAAACAAAAAATAACTGTACAAATTGCACGCACTTTAAGAGAATCCAGCATTAATTACGCGCAGCTATGAACTGACAAATAAAAAAGATTGTTACTGAAATGTCTTAAAAGAGGGAATTACTTACGAGGTATTTTCTTTCCAAACATGGTACAATCTTCATCATAAGTCCGGATTTTTACTCGACCGTAGGGTCCAAAAGCAGCCCACGCTGAAGTTACTGAAGAGGGAAGGCTTTTATCAAATTCTAGCCAAAAGCATTTCCCACCCTGGATTTAGAGAACAGGACAGTTGTTAGTTGTTGACTCGTCTAGGAATGCACAACGTGCACACACAAACAAGGAAAGGTTGATATTTTGATACAAAAGAGGGAATCAATTAGTCTCGCCTCTGTTCTGCGGTACGTTTGTCACGGTATCTACATGTAGTTGTTGGAATGGTGTTTCGATAAACAATTTACATTTTAAAATAAACTGAAGATAACAGTCACTTTTCCGGTGTTCGTATCAGAAAGAATTTAATCTCAATTATAACGAAGATACCGTGTGGCACGAAATTCTTGCGGAAGTTCATTTTTGCACATTGGCGATTTTTTGTGTTTTGCGGGAACTAATTTTTGCGATTAGGACAGATTGGTTTTTCTTGCCGGGAATTAATTTTTAATTTACGATTTTCAGAAAGTACTCAGTAAACAGCATTGATAATAGTTTCGTTTTTATTGAGTACTTGCAATAGAAATACATAATTTCAAACAACAGACCAGTATTTCGTTGTATACCGTTTTGTTTCTGAATGAAAGAGACAAGTTGTGATTGAACAGACACGGTTTCTTAGTGCTGTATTTTTCAGTTGCGAATTTAAGCTAGAGAATATTTACTCTGGAGTAAATTTTTGCGGAAAAAATGTTTCGGTAATTTTTATTTGCGGGAACTTATTTTTGCGGATCGCTGGAAAAATCGCACAAAACGCAAAAATTAGAACCCGCAAAAATTTCGTGCCACACTGTAAATTTCTTCCTCACAATGTTAAAACTTGACGATGGCTTCCACGACTTCGCAAGAAGTCCAACAGAAACATGACGTTAAAAAGCAGGCACGCAGTTCATTTCTTAGATATGGCCCTGGGCCCAGTTGATCGTAGGTCGATTAGCGCTAACCCGGGTAAAATTTTAATTCGGGTTTCTTTTTCTTTAACTCACAGACATTTTCTCGGATAATTTTCTCTATTCTTTTTAGAGCATCCAAACAAAAAGAATTAACCTGAGCAGATTTGAATATTACATGTTTCATATCTGAATTCAAATTTAGCATTAACCATGGGTTTTCTTAACCCAGCTTTGAACAACCTGACCAAGCATTTGAGGAGGAAAAAAGATCAGCTTGTTACTGACTGCGATTTTTTTAACATATCCTGCACAACATATCCAAAGTCCCCGAAAATCTCTGAAAGAGGAAGCTACGCGTTTTAGTATATTGTATTTGAAGAAGACATACATTGCAAATTGCTTACCTCAGGACGACAACTTTCTGGATTTATTGTCACATTAAACTCTTGCTCCTTAGATGAACTACCTATATCAGATAAAATTCAAAACATTACTGACAAGACTTCAACAAAATGATGCCTAATTTGTTTTAAGATTTTATATAGTAACATACTGATGAACCAATACTTCCATCGAGTACCGTATGTGCACCCATTACTCTCGTCACTAGTCACTAAGCTTGAACACGCGCACACAGGTTGCGTGTCCACGTTTTCTATGAGGCAAGCCGGAACATTTATTTATTTTCATTTATTTTATTTACTTGCCACATAATAATTACAAAAAATATAGGAAAAGAAGAAAAAAAGAAGTGGCGAGGAGACCTAACAGAAACTATAGCAGCTTATGAGAGGTTAGGCCTTCTCGAACTACGGGCTGGAACTGTTTAACATCAATTGAAGAAAAGATGGCGAAAAGTAGAAGATGGAAAGATTTACTCAATAATTTAATCTTCAGTTTTTTCTTAAAAGAGGAAAGGGATTGAGAGTTGATGACCTCGTTGACAAGTGAATTAAATAACTTAGGCCCTTGAAAAAAGGGCGAGAACTTCTTAGTGTTTGTACGACAATACGGTAGACGGTAGGCCTGGGAATTTCTTGTAGTGTAAGAGTTGAATTGATTGCTTTGGGAGAAATTGTTATTAAACCTTGGAGGTAAGAATGAATTTTTGCAAGAATACATAAATTGGCCCAGTTGAAGCAAACCGACATCGTTAAATTTTAGTATAGCGAGGCCCTTAAAGATGGGGTCTGTATGAAATGTGATTGAAATGTGATTTATTAATAATTCTAATAATGCGCTTTTGCAGGACAACAAGGCGGCGGAGATTGCTTTTATAGGTCGAATCCCAAACGATATGGCAGTAATAAAAATAAGGATAAATTAAGGAATAGTAGAGCATACGTAGAGACGTTTTAGGAAGAAAGCAGCTGCACCGATTGACTTCGCAACTTTATTTGCAACGTGTGATATTTCCGACTTCCAATTTAGGTTTTCATCTAAAATTACTCCTAGAAAACTTGTCTCCTTTACTTTAACAATATTTTGATCATCTATACTTATTTGAATATTACAAATTGAACGCTTTTGTCTTGCTTTAAGGACCATAAATTTAGTCTTTTTAAGATTTAGAGGAAGCTTGTTTGCTTTAAACCAGATTGACAGTTTGTCCATCTCCAAGTTTAATATATCTGAAAGATAGTTCAGATCTTTACGTGACATGAATACATTGGTATCGTCAGCGAACAATATCAGATTTAATAGATTAGAAGCATTGTTGATGTCGTTAATGTACAGTAAGAAAAATAGAGGTCTGAGGATGGAACCCTGACGGACCTCACAAGAGATTTCGTTTCTTAACGAACGGTGGCCATTATATTCAACATATTGCTTTCTGTCTGAAAAGTAAATTCTTATCCAGTCCAGCGTTAAGCCACGAATATCAAAAAGGATGACATGATTTACAGTGTCAAAGGCTTTTGAGAGGTCAAGAAAAATACCTACGGAAAATCCACCTCGGTCAGAGGTCGTGGAAATCTTATCATGCAAGTCGATTAGCGCGAGTGTCGTGGAATGATTTTTCCTGAAGCCGTATTGGTTACTACAGACGATGTTGAAATTCATCAGGTATTGCATTAAACGATTGTAGATAACTCTTTCAAAGAATTTTGAAAAGCCGGGAAGTACCGAGATAGGTCGGTAGTTGGTGAAAAGCCACTGATCATCAGATTTAAAAGTAGGTGTCACGCGAGCGATTTTCATTTGATCGGGAACAAGAACGCTCTTAGTAGCGTTGAGTCTCGCTTGCTTGGAGATGAGTTTTAATGTCAAAGGCCCCGGTGCCGTTATACTACTTTTTCGTTTGGAATACAAAACGAGTGTTGTATGTCATAATGTATATACTCAAAAAGTAAAAATTGCAAGGAGAGACAGACTGCACATCTTAGCCTCAAACCGGTGTGAAACCTTTGAAAACCTTCTACATATTGATATTGCTCCATTGAGGAGTACTCTTTCAGGGATTCTACACTCGAAAAATTGAACGATGATTTTTATCGGTATCAGGGGCCTATGACTCTGTCAATATAAATATATACATAGTTTCTTTGTACCGGACCAAGATACGGCTCGGTACAGTATATGTTCAGCACAGGAAAAAAGTGTAAGTTGAACAGAACGTTATACAACACACAGTAAATGCAGTTCGCGCGTATTCCTGCTGAATTTGTTGACCGTTTTATAAGATATCAATATCGCATGAAAGTAATCACATTTTCCATAGCTGCTTAGTATCTACTTTTAATATCTCCGTACAGTCTCAGAGTACAATGATTAGAGTTGTACGCAGCATGCATTTTAGATAGATAGATAGATAGATAGATAGATAGATAGATAAGATAGATAAGATAGATAGATAGAAAGATAGATAGATAAGATAGATAAGATAGATAGATAGATAGATAGATAGATAGATAGATAAGATAGATAGATAGATAGATAGATAGATAGATAGATAGATAGATAGATAGATAGATAGATAGATAGATAGATAGATAGATAGATAGATAGATAGATAGATAGATAGATAGATAGATAGATTGATTGATTGATTGATTGATTCACTTTTATTTGAATACGGTAATTTCATAAGTTACATAACTTCTTCACATGAAAGCCGTATAGAAACAGAAGTAAATACTGTACAACTACACTAAAAATATAATAAAATATAATATAATATATAGCATAGAATTATAAGGGTTGTTCTCACAGACATTCGAGAAAAGATCGCTTAAGTAACTAGGTATATTTCCATTCACTGTATCATACATTAATAGACTTAAGTGCCTTTGACGCCTCGAGGCAAGCTCTTCCCAGTTTAGTTGTTTTCGTATTTGTGCTGAACGAACACCATAACCTTGAAAGGTTATTATGCGTGCAGCACGATTTTGTAATTTCTGGATCCTAGTGGCAAGTCCCTGGTCTAAATTGTCTCAAACAACGTCGCAGTAGTCGAACACAGGCTGGATAAAATAGTATTTAGAACATCTAATGGTACATAATCACGTGCCTGTTTTAGACCACTGATGGATCGACTGACTTTTGAACAAAGTTTGTCAACATGCTCGTTCCATTTAAGATTTTCATCTGAGTGAATTCCTAAATATTTTGTTGTTTGGACTCGTTTAACATGATTGTTGCCAATCTTAATTGGAAAGTCTCTTCCTAAGTTAGATAATTTGAAGGTAGTTGTTAAGAACATATACTCCGTTTTAGTGACATTTAAGCTTAACTTATTTGCAAGAAGCCAGTCCCTAACGCGAGTTAGGTCATTATTTACCTTGGCATATAGTTCAGCAGTGGATACAGAGGACGCATATATCGTGGTATCATCGGCATACATGTGTGCTTTGGTATGGAGAAGACATCCAGGGAGATCATTGATATAAATTAAAAACAACAAAGGGCCTAAAATTGAACCCTGTGGAACACCACAACTTATCAACTGGGGCTTAGATACACAGCCCTCTACTACACACTGCTGTTGCCTATTTGATAGGTACGATGAAAACCAGTCGAGCGTTACACCCTTCAGACCATAGAGCTCAAGCTTTTTTAATAAAATATTATGTGAAACGGTGTCAAAGGCTTTGGCAAGATCGAGAAGCACAATCAAATTGGTCATGCCTTTGTCAATGTTAAGATACCAATTATTTGTTAAATGTAACAGCGCTGTCACTGTAGAGTGAAGGGAACGAAATCCAGACTGGTTTTTTGTCAACAGGCCATTTGAATTTAAGTACCTGTATAGTTGATCGTAGATAGATAGTTAGTTAGTTAGTTAGTTAGTTAGATAGTTAGTTAGTTAGTTAGTTAGCTAGCTAGCTAGCTAGACAGACAGACAGACAGACAGACAGACAGACAGACAGACAGACAGATAGATAGATAGATAGATAGATAGATAGATAGATAGATAGATAGATAGATAGATAGATAGATAGATAGATAGATAGATAAACTCAAGTCAGCGCGAATTTTAAAATCGAGATTGTCCGAGATATATAATACAACACCACCACCAGTTCTATTTGGGCGATGTTTGTGGATAAAATTGAAACCATCTATGTCTACTGAATGGGAATAATCGCTTGGCAAAGTCTCAGAAACGCCAATTAAAGAGAACTTAATATTCAAGCATGTCAAAAGAATAGAAAGGCTGTTTAGATTACGTTGAAGACTACGAATATTTAGGTGTAGGAGCGAAAAATCTTCATCACATAAATCATCATTTCTCAACATTTCGTTAAATTTGTCTTCAATGTAGAAATCACAGTGGACGTCGTCTGTACCGAAATTAACATTAGGATGTATATCGTCAGAACGGGCTAGGGAAAGATTGTGACTTGAAAATAAAGGATCGTTATTTAGGCTGGAAAGTCTTTCAGGATCATAACGGACCGGGCCACGTTGAAGTTCGTAAATTGCAAGGTTAAAACTATAATCGCCTAAAGCATTAAAAGGTAGAATGTGATCAGGAATCGAAGCCATGGCTAATAAATAACAAATATAAAAATACGTGTTATAAATATTATAGAAAGCTAAAGCACAAAACTACACAGCTACTCAAAGGCCCACGTTCACCCTAGATGCATCCCGCGCCCTGTACTCCAGAAAAAAACATTTCGCGTAGTTGAAAATCGCTGCTTTCATTGTGTAGAGTCAATCTTTGTTAATCTTCCACAGTTCGCTAAATCTGGTTTAAAAGAAAGTCTAAACAGGTTCTTTTGGTATTTTTCTTTACATTTTTTTGGATATTTTGGTCTGGTATCGAGCCTTTTTGTTTCTGTGAGTGTTTGCTTCACTGCAGTACTTTCATCGAAACGTACGGTTGGAAGACCGCCGGGGGGGGGGGGTAATACCATATATGGGCTATATGGGTATGTGCCGCTGTGAAGGGTATGGTTTTCAAGCAGTTTACGGTAGGATAGGGTATATAAATCAGAGCGTTTGGGTCTAGAATAGGGTATCATTTTTCAGGACACTGATCAGTTGGTTGAAGATTTTATCTAGACTGGGGAAACAGCTACTCTAGGATAGGGGGATTTTGGGAGTTTACTCTAGTATAGGGTAGCAAAATTCAGCAGAACTAGCTCTGGTATAGGTCAAGGGTTCCAGGGTCCCAGCGGCACATCCCCACCCAGAAATTCCTAAAGTGCCCCCCCCGGGGGAGACCGCGTCGACGGGGGTCGCCGAAGTACATTCGTCTCGGTGAATCCTTTTTAATCTCTGAGAGATGGGAAAGATGCTTTTGGCTGCAAATTCTACAGACAGCGCGTTTGCCGAGTTCCTTCTACATCGAATGTTCACGTTCCGCGTTGTAAACAAAGGTCCCGTTGAAATCAGTTGAAAGTAAAGCAAGCGAGTCAATCTAATATGAACAATGCTTTATTTAATTTAACCTATGAAGCGAGTGATATCCTTAACGTAAACTTATCGTCTGGCGTATCGCTCTAAAGTAGCGAGAACTATTATTAGTAACCAGTCCTTAGCCAAACCTAAAGCCTGGGTAAAGGAACTGTAACCACAGCGATTACAGCGACAAGACTGTACGCAGTGCTGATTCGACGATTTGCAAACAAAACTTCTCGCTTATTCTTTCCAGAACACATACCTACGCTTTCTAAGAATTAACACAAAATAATAGATTGAGGAATCAAAGCATTTCACAGTCGAATCGGGCTTCAAGAAAATCTCACCTGGTGCTTAGACGTTTCGTAATTATATGACCTTCATTGTGTTCATCGGACTCAACAAAGCATACATACGCACTCACTACCGGAGAAAGCAGTTCAAAATTTAAGCAGGTGACATTTAACGAAGTCGGCGAAATATCTTCCTCCATTTGGAAAAGAATTAAAGTCTTACTGGCCTCTTTGATACTGTCTCTCCCTAAGCTTTGGTCAAGCGTGAAAAAAGCTAGTCTCCCTCGCAGTCGTTTTTAGTATCGTCACGCAACGCTTCTCAAAAGTGGAAGCCAATCAAAACACTGCATTTGACAAAAGAATCGTTTCAAAACAGAAACACAAGCGCGCAAAGCCGTTTGGGTGAACATGGGCTTTTAACTGGGACGCTCAAGTCTGTCTTTAATAACCAGCCTGTCTAAAACGAAATATGCTATTTTCCCCTTTTGTTCTCGCTTCTTCAAACTTGGGACGCTGCTCTTCTCTCTTGTCAAGGGTTTCTTGTGCCAGGTCTTCATTAACAAAAATTCCAGGGGCTTGATTCTTCTTGCACCTCTGATGATCTTTCCTTTTTGCTTCAAATCGCGGAGGCGATGGTCCTTGGACGTCTTAAGGAGCCAGTTGTAGCATTTTGCTCTTCTGTCGAGCCCGCTCGACATTAGGTTCTTTATCGAGGTTAAGCTTCTCTTTAAGTATCTCCTTTACTATGGTTTCGGTGTTGTCCCAGGTTTCCGCTCCTTCCTCTCGAATGCCATCTGGTCGAATATTACTCCTTCACCTTTGGTTCTCCAGATATTCGAATCTTATCAGTGTGGTAATCCAGGGAACCGCACATCTTTTCAATCTCTTCTTCGACCTCATGCAGTCGGGATGAGCATGGTTTCAGGTCCTTGATTTCTTTCTGGGAGAACTCAAGGCTCATCTTCAAGTCGCTAGTGTCTTTCTCGGAAATATCTAGTCTAGCTTTGATTTCTGCGGTTTGGCCGACGACGGAATCTAGCCGTGCGTTTACGTTGGCCAACAGTGAGTCAAATAAATTCTTAAACATTCTTTCTCCCTCATTGTCCCTCAGTGTCGCCATTGTGACAAGTTCAGATCCCGAGGAATCAGCTCCTTGAGTGCTAGCAGCCTTCTTGGTTCGAGTTTCAGGCATTGTTAATTTAGTTCGAGTCGTAAATGGCAAATAGCGATAACAAAAATTGAGTGGGATTCACTCTGCAATTAAAGCAATTATCGCGGAGTAAAGAAAGTATTGGAGTATATTGTCCAATTATTCTTCAAAATGTTGAATTTGACCATCATCCTCGCAATGCTTTACTTACTATACTTGTGGCTGCCTGGCAACGAGTCGTTAATTTAAAACCGTTTTTTTGTTTGTTTGATTTCATGCACTGTTACTCACAACTTGCTATTCCAAACAGGGTCCTACTGTCTCAGTAATTTAATCTACAAAGGATACTTCAACCAGTCACTTCAAAGCTGTCTTGGTTTTACGATTTTTTTAAATTCGCTCCATAGTAGTAGAGCAGTCGTACAGTAAAAAACAGTGATGGGAAGTCACTCGTGGGATATTTCATGGTATACCGTTCGATAGCATTGCATAACTACAGTATACGTAAACTAGAACTAATCGGAGCTTAAAAGGGTGCGTTCGATATGTTTATAAGGCGTACAGGTAGCAGTTGAGGAGGAAGGGTGGATGGTTATTGCAATAGATTAAGCCCGGTTTCCATATGATCACTACGATCGCCGTGATCGCTGCGAAAAAAAAGTTCACAATCATATGGAAACCACTCTCCAGCGATCGCAGCGACAACGATCGCTGAGATAGAACTTTTTATATCTCAGCGATTGTTGCCGCTGCGATCGCCGGAGAGTGGTTTCTTATGATCGCTATGATCGCTGACGTTTTTTTTTTCTCAGCGATCGCAGCGATCACAGCGATGGTATCGATCATATGCAAACCGGGCTTTAATTTGATCATGGCATATTTCAAACGTAAGGACTGCTTACAGCGAAACCTCTATTTAAACTGGGTATCATTATGAAAAGGCCTTGAAGGCTAGTGATATCGTATAGTCCGTCTTAATAAGTGCAGTAGTTTGGTCGAGTGTGTTGATTTCAGTGACTTGAGTGGAGCTACTGTGGGCTGTTTACAAGTTTTTCCGAATAAATAACGTAGGCCTAAAATGTTCGTATGTCCGGTGCCGAAAATATCACAAGTCATGATGAAACGGCGCCGCCAAGCTTCACATCTCGGTAGATTTACTTTGTGGCACAACGGCCGCCGAGCTACACAACTCTGTAGATTTAACTCGGTAGATTTACTTTGTGGCACAACGGCCGCCAAAACTTTTGAAAGATGGACGTTTTGAAAGATTCAGCAAACACAGATCGACAGTAGAACTTCAGCAAACTCTTGAAATATGTATGCTTTACGAAGATTCAGCAAACTTTTAAAAGATGAACGGTTTACGAAGACAGAGTAAAAGACCTCAGCAAACGCTTGAGGACGCACGAATCACCACTTGAGTTAGTTCGTCAAAGTGAGGCAAAACGTAAGCAAGTGCCTCAAAGCGAGACAAATGTGTGTCGACGACGACGACAAATGCAATCTCGAAAAACCTCCCTTATTGATTGCACAGGACACCCAATAATGCACACGATACCCAACACAAATTAGGGGTTGCGTTCTCGTACCTCGAACGCAAAAATATTCCCTACTGAATCCTCACCTTCGTCCGACGAGTAAACATTTCCATCAGCCTGATATAGCTAGGTAAATAAATACATGATAAAATTGCATTATTTTTGTCTTTAAATAGAATAAAGGAAAATAGAGCAAAGTAGTGCACAGCTTGGAAGAAAGGGGGTTTCACCTTCATGGGGACTACTTGTTACTAACACTTTCATAAGTTCATCTCTACTTGAGACGTGTATACAAAGCAAAGGCAGTACAGGAAATATAGAACTGATCGAGCTAAAGAGCACGGAACCGACATACAATTAAGCTATTTCAACGAACGATGACAATCGTCTTGGTGACAAAGAACAATAACAACAACAACAACAACAAAAAACAGTGAAAAAAATACCCTAAAAGGATCCTGGATAACAGTTGCCACAGCGATCTCTTGGCCAAGCTCTTTAGGTTGATTCAAACTTTCTATAAAAAGCAATAACCATAAACATTGTGAAGTATACCCTTAAAAAATTGGTAGAAATTCCTCAGCATGTAAAAAACATGCCCACATGAGGAGACAACTACTTAAATACGAAACGTTTTCGAGATTCACCATGCAAATAGTGGACGGTGGCTAAGAGGGCTATGGGAAGAATTCTCTCTCTAATAATTTGTACCCCATTTCTACAGACAAAATAAGAACACGTGGCATATGTGAATAACAAATATCAAATCAACACCGAATTCAAGAAGTTTGATAATTTTCACTCACCTTCTGACGAGTAGCCAGTTTCAGACATTTCACTACCCTGGCAAGTGGTGACAACAACCTGATTTAGATAGATGGGGGGAAATCAGAAAGCAGGGTTTTATCTGTATAACTCAAGGACAAAAGATAATAGAGTAATAATTATAAACGTTAAGTTACAAACTGGCGAAGCCAAGTCGTTATGTTTTTCTTTGAAAAGTATTATAAAAAATAAGTACAGTCGACGCCCTCATATACGGCCACCTCGAAAATTTGAAAACGTGGTCGTCACAAATAATGGTCATTTACGAGAACTGGCTCTCGTAAGCTAACACACGCTTAAAAGTATTCTCACGGTAAAGCCCTCTCCGGGTTTGGTCTCAGGGTTGAATTGCTTCTATAACTAATATCATAATGGTATGAGATATTACAGTACTTTTAATTGACAAACCATAACATAGCTAGAATATTCACCTAATCAAATTCACAAGCGCGAATGGCTTCATATTCCTATTGAGCACGCAGATAAGTCAAGAAACTAATGCCTCTTGTGAGCTTAATCCTCTCAAGTGCATGCATAACTCAACAGTACACGATGAAGCGTTTACCATGGTTACCACAGAATTGGATTTCATCCAATAGCAGTATAAAACGTATTCAGAGTTTAGTTTATCATTAACGTGGGCATATTGCATGAGTGCCCTAGCTTTGTTATCATTTCGTGGTAGATTTTAGCATAGCAGCACCCATATTTCTTAAGCCCTCCCTCCCCACAGCGAGCCGCATCAGGGGGCTGGCCTTCGGGTAGCCCGGCCTACCCCATGCTAGGGCAAGTAATCGGTCTTTCTTACTCCGCATGTTCCATATACTTATTTTACGGAAAACTGTTTTTAACGATCGACTAAACCAACTGTTTCTAGATGTTCGAGGACGGCCAGTAAGCTGTGGAGTAAAACATACACCTTTTAATTATTATGAACTGACCTTATTCTGAAGTTCAGTGGTGAAAACGGGAGGAAAGTCCTGATCTTGCAGTGGATATTGGTCAATAAGGTGCTGTTCACATGTTTCTGTTCAGTAATAAAAGTTAGAAAATGTCAAATTTAGTGACCGCAACATTCACGGAACATCATTACAGTTAAAGGGACAGGTTCACGGTTAAGCGCATGCTCATTAATTAAACTACTTTTTTCCAATTTATTCTTATAATTCTTTCGGTTAATTCTCCCACTCACACGTATCTCAGCGATGTCAGAGTGTATTTCAAAGTAGAATTGTGTTCAGAGTAACCTGAAGTAGGATGGAGAAGAACTAAAATCGCAGAAAAAATTAGTGGATTATGCCAACACTACCAACGTTGAATTTATTGTTGACCCGAAGGTTTTATTCCATGGTTGATTAATTTACATCTATTTGCAATTTTTGAAGTTGATCTAGTGCAAGTGACTGCCAGGGGAGTGTGCAGATTGGTTCTTTGACAAAATTATGACATGATCATATTGCTTGCGTGGACGATACAGCATGTCCCAGCAGAAAAACAGTATTTTGATAAATGAGCATGCGCTGAACCGTGAACCTGTCCCTTTAATAAGCTCAGTAGTTGATTTGTCTTGTTCTGGCTATTGTTTCACTGTGAAAATATCCTTTATCAATCAAATTATCCAGTCGTTTAGGATATTTGAAACTCTTTACATGCTACTCTTACAGCAATTGCCGAAACTGATTGGTCGACTGACTTCGAAACTTTAGTGAGTCAAATTTAAAACGAAATCACGCGCTACCAAGGAACTTTTATCTTAAATTTATAAATGCCGTTTTTTGGTTAGAATCAGCAATTTATCTTATCTCAAAATGTCATGCAGTCGTGACCTCTGCAACCATATGCAGAAAGATAACAATATTGGGCATTTCTGGTCAAGACTTTCAAATACCGCGAGGTTGAGAAAAACGTTGATATTTGTCAGTTGAGAGCTGATCCAGATCTTGAATGAAGAAGGAAATAATTGATCTGCAAGGCACCGAGCATTCCATTAGGTCATTTGCAGGTGACACAAGAAAGGACATCATCTCTTTTTTCTATACCATTCAAAACTTCAAAATGAAAAACAAATGACTTTGTCCTATACCTTCGAGGCCTATTATTTCCACACTTCCAGAAAAAGGTTCAAAAGTAGAATTTTACTTAAAACTACGATGAGTGGAAGAGACATTTCACTGCATTGCAACACTAAAACCACCCAGCAATTATGTTCAGAGGTAGCGTAACACAAAAGGCGGTTTCAGCTAAAAACTAAGGGCTTTAACCCCTTGCCTGGTTCGTGAAGAGATTCTGGCAAGCTGCTCCCTTTAGAAACCTGCTGTAAGAATGGAACTGGCACGCCACTTGACTGGAAGGGACTGGTATCAAAACCGCCTACCGAGGGAGCTAAGGTAGTGGTTACTGAAGCCAAAAGAATATTCTCGGGAAATTTCACGTCTGAAATGAGAGAGGTTTCTGTCTGTGGTATTGTCTTCTCGATTGTTGCGTCAGCACCAACATCATACATCAACTCATCAAGCATATAATGGCCACCTTCCGTAACTATGTCCAGTATGTCAATGGTTTGTGTTGGGTTGGTGTCTCCAAAGGACTGCATTTGACCAACTCGGAAAACACTGGACTGTCCCACACGAGACACAGCTGATGTAGCCCCAGTATTTACTATGAAATCCTGTATGGTCTCTCTTTTAGGAATTGTAGGGGTTGCAGACATATTTTCTGTTAATGGAAAGCTGTTTTTAGTTGTGGCAGCTATAACTGAAGGGGTGCTGCACCATGCCTGAGTCTGAGAGGAAACACTGGTGCCCTCCTTGACGAAAGGAAAGACTTCTGACATTCCTACATGTATGCCGGGAAATGATCCACTCGTCACTGACAAAATAATGAAGAACAATTTACAGCCATGCAGGTAGATAAATGAAACAGAAAGATATCTAAAAACCTTGCCTTTATCCCTACCGTTTTCAAAAGAGGAATCTGTTTCAGTTTTCTTTATACTCTATAGCAGAAAATAAAATTTCAAAAAAATTAAATTCTAAAATTTCTAGTCAAGGTTAAATTCCTACTCAAACTCAAAACGCTAGCTTTATGCCACTACACTGTGGGCCTAACAGTGGGAGCCACTGCAGGCTTCGTCTACATCTACCAACAAACTTAGTGCGAGGCTGTGTTTGGTGCCAGCAGGTGATCGGACTTTGGCGTGTAAGCTGACAAGCATCTCTTTGAAAGAAATATCCTTGATCATCTCTTTCGTATTTTCATCACCGCTACAATTGTTGAAAAACTAGACGAGTGCATTATCTTCTCGTGACCATGTCATTTAAAGGCAAAGAGGTTATGAGCTTCACAATGCGCATACGAGTCGAGGATGGACATGTGTCTTAGGAGCCAGTATTCACATGATACCGGAAAGGATTTCATTCCGGAACCAGTTCTTTTATCTCCATGTATTATTTCTCTGTATCTTTACGATACCGGAAAACGATTTCGATTTTGTACAAGTCATTCGGTAGTGATGTCATTCCGGTTTTCAGTCCGAATTAAATTCTAGTTTTGGTTCAAATTCCACTTTGCTCTAAGATGAAAATCGCAAACCGCGTAGTCCGGGGCGAATGACGCATGCGTATATCATTGCAATCTGACGCGAAATTTACGCCCACACGAGCGAGAACCACTTTGAAGAAATTGTTTGAACGGCTCATTCTTAACCGCAGTGCTTACGCTTCGGGGCACCCGACGACTGTTTTCCGTGAAACATCCGTTCGGAGAAGCAAATATTGCCTAGAATTTTCTATTACTTGAGAACGGCTAAAAATTTCTGGGTGAACGTTCCACTCATGTACAATTTTCGAAGTTCATCTAATAAATTCCCTACGATTTTATGAAGTTTAATTTTCACATTTCACTTCCTAAACTGGGCCATTTTTCGTAGAGAAAAAAGAAGCGCAAAATTTTCGGACTCAAGAATGCAATAGAGAGAGAGATCAGAAAATGTCTCACTTTCGTCATAATTCAAATTGCATCTAAAATTTTCGTAAAATAATACCAAAGCTCTTGTAATTTCGAAAAGACTCAAGTTCCCCTAGGATGCCCGAACAGATACAAATTTTATAGCGCCGCTTAGAATGCATTTCTAGCGATCCTAAAAGTACTCTGGATAGCCTAAAAAGTGTTTTCAATGTATTTAGGAGGAAACCGTCGTTGGGTGCTCCTGTTACGCTGCGCAGAGGAACTCTCGGATCGAGATTACTCACAAATAAGCTGTTTAACTTAAATGCTCATCGAGTCAGGTATTGTAGTAAATAAACGTAAAAGCAGAAGCATTACTACGATAGCAGGTGTACACTAATACTGGTAATAAGTGACGATCAAACTGCATTAAACAGTCTACACCAAACTTATCATCATGAACAGTTATTCTGCACCTGTAAAAGATCCTGATTAGTTACTTGTTCGTTGAGCTTCTGGCCTGTCTCTATGATAAAGAAAAATAGCAGCCATATTTAAAAGCAAAACCAGCACAGTAGTTTTAATGCATGGGACTACAGGCGAGACCTAGTTTTGTGATAAACAATTATTACATATGTTGCAAATAAAGCGCCAACCCCGAGAGTTGCACCTAAGAGCAAAAATATCAATAAGCACTGCATACAGTCCTTTTCAAGGACTAGCAAAGAATTTTAAGGACCTTTTAAGGAAAAATGGAATTCAAGAACTTATCAAGGACTCGTCCCCTAAAATTCAAGGACTTTTCAAGACTGTGCAAGCCATAGTGTTACAATCCCACCATATCACATCGAACAAAATCAAACAAAATTTCCACGGAACTCAATCAAACTAATTCAAACTCTTTTGATGCAGCTCGATTGAGTTTGAAAACCGAACACTGGGATTAATGATTCCTAAACAAGCTTGACTGCCTAATTCTTACCCTTTTTGGAGGATGTTTCTTTTTTAGTTCCCTGATTTCCCTATAAATGAGAAAAACATTTCAGACCAAAATTACATTTCATCCACCAAATACATCACTTAAGCTACTTTGACCCCAATCTATGAGACGCTTTCCATCAGGAACGTAACAGATAAATATGCAGAACTTTGAACATAGCATTTAAATTGTGACATCTAAAAAAATGATAACAATCAATTGAAATTAATTTAAATCATAAAAACACATGAGATGATTTTATCATCTAATGTGTAAAATATCTAAATGTTTTTTCTTCTCTTATTTTCACTACAGGGTAACTCCATGAGTTATCAGCAAAAAACGGTATTCCAGAATTGAGATAGGAAGGAAATGCCTGCTGGGTTGACAGTTCTTTTTTGCGAGTTCAGGCTAATTAGATTAGTTTGCATCAAAATTTAAGTTCACACTTTACTTACCTTTGTTTTAGTGATATTCATAAGAAAATCAGAACAACTTCTTTTGAAATAACCTTTGTCGTGGGAGTAATATGATGAGGGCTCATTTGCTTTCTCTTGGTTTGGTCTCCGTTTTTTATGGAAGCCATCTAGATTAACATTAAAATTTTAAAAAACCAACTGTCATAAATATTGAAAATCTCCACTGCAGCCAGTGATTTAGTTACAAATAGTTATATGGTGTCCTGGGACTCATCTTGTGAAAAATCATGGGCCCCTATGTCCATAACCAGTGAGTCCCAGTTAAAAAAAAAAGGAGTCCTAAATTGAAAATTAATGCTTGGGCCTTTTAGTACAGTATGTAACTAGACGGTTACAGTAATCTGAATTATGAATAATATTGTTTTGCATCTTTGGGGATTTTTATACATCAGGGACACAGGACGCAGAGGCAACAAAATCACTGTGTTGCTACCAATTACCACCACCTGCATGCATGCACCTTCCATAACAAAGTCATCAAAATTCATCCTTTAAACCCTCTACTAAATTATAAAGTAACCAGTCTTCTATGCCCAGGGGGGAGTACATCAGGGTTGTGATGATGGGGTGGTGGAATGGGGAGCCTTCAAACTATAAGAGTGCAATGTGAAAAAAAGGGATCCCACGAGATTTTATGATTAAGCCCTGAGATGTTTAGCGATGGCAATGGACTGTAAGTGATAGCCCTTGAAACAGATAACTTTATTTGGCAATATGCAGATTATAGAAGAAAACATTGTAAGTTTGGACACAAATAACACGCCACACCAAGAAGGCATACATTATCTTTTGAATGGAAAATGATAATTTATTACTTTCACCAGGCCACACCTCTTTGAAGACCCTGATTTTGGAAGAACAGAATTCAAACACTAATTTATATAGAACTCCAAACTGCATAACAAGAATACATAATGGCATAAAAGAATTGGAAATTTAGTAATAACAGAATCTGAATAAGAATTAACTGCATATAAGAATTCCTCGGAAAACTGCACAACAGCATGATACTGGAAACAACAATATAAACAACACTTAAAACTTATATTTATTATTCATTCAAAATATTTCCCCAGTTCTGATTGGCTACAAGCACATGCATAATTCACCATAACCAGCTACTGATGACAAATCTGGAAGAATTAATAGCATTTAATGAACCGATGACGTCAAAAGTGCAGCCTTCGCGCAGGTTAATGCACTGTTAACTGAGAAGACCTGGGTATGAGGTTGAGTTGTTTTGGTTGCGAAAACAAAAAATGCGAATATTTCACTCGTTTCAAGAGTAAGAAGGCGAAATAATAGCTAAAAACATGGCAAGAACAGCAAGAAGACAACTCGAAGGGTGACATCTGCTATTTCGAGAACATTTGCGGAGCTGAACAACCGTAAACGTGCACTCCCTTGTAGAACCAGACATATGCAAAACCTATGCTCATGCTATTTGTTTACTATGTTGGACTATGTTTCAGCTACGTTATGTTCACTACTACCTATGTATCAACTATGTAGCATACCACACTTACATAGTCCAAAGTATGTAAAATCTATGTTGAAACTATGTTTAGGCTATTTGAAAAGCACATAGCTTTTGAATACCTATGCAAATACTATTCAAAATCTTTTCATAGTCTTTACATAGCTATGTATTTACTATGCAATAGAAAGTTCTGCTTTTCCTTCCGATTTGCATCCTATGTATTTACTATGCAACAAACCAAAATAGCTTTTACATAGCATCTCGATCTTCAATTTTATTTCCAACAAGTTTCCTAGCTTTTACATAGTGCTATGTATATTCTATGCTAAGTGATGAAACATATTTGCAGCCTATGTTTTCACTATGTGATATTTTAATTTAGCTTTATCATGAGATAAAGGTTACATAGCTTTTACATAAACGTAATTTTTCTTATATTTTCACTCATATGAGAAATATGTAGTCTATGCGTTTCCTATGTGATATTTCAACATACCTTTTAAAATACTAGGCATGTTGATTGTACAGGTTAAATAGCGCTTACAAAAAGCATACTTCCAACGTAAAAAGCAGTGTTTAAAACTAAAAAACTTAAAAATCATTTACTACAATTTTTTTTGTGCTTGCAGATAGTTTCTTAGTGACTTAACTTTCCTTTCTAGCTTTTCCCTAGAGTTTCTTCACTTGAAATGATACCTCCATGCATCATTTTCTTCTTTTATATTAGCTTCGATCCTTCGTCTTGATTATGAACGACTCCTGAATAGAAATTCATGGTCAAAACTGCGAAACGCTAGCTGCAGTGGATCGCTGCAGTCCTCGGTGTTTGTCAGCCATTTTGTTTCCACTAGTTCCCAGGGAAGCCCGTGAGTTCAACACATGCGTATTTAGCGTTTTATCGTCACATGGGCCTTTTCAACCAATGAAAAGGTGTGAAAATTGGCTGATTCCACGCGGGCACTTTCAAGTCAAAGAAGACGAACTGTAAAGCGTGCGTTTTTACAAGAAGACGCTTCTTTTTACTTCAATTTAAAGTCGTTTTCCTGCCAGGTTCAACAAAAAGTATTCCTAACGTTGGTAAGTGATGTTTTTCTCAATTTGAGTTTCGATTTATCAGTGTTGTCTCCCCTTTTCGCGTACCTGAACAAGTTGGATCGGTCACCTTCGATCACGCTTCGATACTCGTTCGTTTCAATTCTAAAACGTCAGGTTGTTTTTGTGTTCATTTGCCTTAAAATCTCAACTTTTCTGTTTGCAGATACTTATTCGTTGCAGTCAAAAGGAAAGTGTATGGCACTGAAGAGTACATCAGCCAAAAGTCTACACGATAAGCAAATTAAGCAAACTTTAACTTGGGGTTTCGATTCTGAAACTGCTCCATGAAAATACTGCATTTGTGTTGTGTGTTCGTGGTATTATATTGCTATAGTTTTCAATTTTTCGTGTCAAAACCCATTTCTTACCAATGTAAAAGATATTCTAATTCACATGTACTGTGTATACTATTTTTACTATTCTGGTGATTTTTACGAGGGTATTTTAAAGACTACATTTGCTTAAGCAGATCAAAACCTACCTACATAAAAGACTATGTCAATTCTATGTAATTTCTGTTTGAACTCTAATTATGGCTGTGTATGTGATATGTTTTACCTACTCAAATACTATTAAAATCCTATTTCAAACCTATGCAAAGACTATTTGTTCTGTGTTTTCCCTATTTTAATGCTATGCAAAGTATATGTCATCTTTAAAAAAGGCTATGTCTTCACTATTCCTAGGCTATCTGAATTCTAAGCAAACCCTATTCAAAAGCTATTTAATCAACTGTCCCCTGTTCCATTTCACTATGTAAACTCTATTTCAGTCCTATGTGAAGGCTATTTATTTCCTATGATTTTTTTATAAGGTTGACTATGAAGTCTAAAATCTCTTTCTGAAAGCTAAGTAAATTGTATGTATAGGCTATGTGGAAACTATGTCATTTCTGCCTTTATTCCTTCCTTTAAAAACTGCATAGCTTTTAAGTAGGTTCCGTTTGACTAGCGAAAACATAGCATTTTCGATACAAAAAACATAGTCCTGGCATAGAAACAACATAGGATCTGGTTAAAGCAATGTATGACTCATTAACATAGGTTTTACATAGCTTTGTGACATAGCATTTGCATAGATTCTACATAGTGTCTGATTCTACAAGGGATATCAAAGATGAAGTTAACATCGATGGAGGTAAGCCTGTTTTACTAGGAATTATTTAGAATGAATAATAAAACAATTATTGAATTCGGCTTTCAAATCATAAGAAGAATTATAATTGGAAATCTCAGAGGGTGCTATCCATCGAGGCAATAACATCCTCCTCTATCTCCATAATTCTTCATATTAAAGATACTCAGCCTAATTCATTAATTGTTAATTATTGGCAGGCAACTCCCATCATAATGGTTTACCTCATTTCTTTCAAGAAGAAGCAAGTAATATAAGATGTGACTTGGATGCCACAATTTTCTCCAAAAAGAAACTGAAGATTTCAGTTGGATGTTATAGGTAACAACAAGATATGTTACATATAGAATGATGACGAGAATATCTCAGATTTCCTGATTTAATGAGGGGTGCCATGGCCACAACAATTATGGCCTATAGTAGCAGGAGTTACCCTTCCTTCTCCCTAACTTGCACAACCATCACATTCACACGTCCTTGACTTCCCTTCTCCCTTCAAATATCCAATTGAGTGACTCACTGAATCACTGCGACTATTATCCGGCCAAAGGATAATATTAATATATATTTGCAAGTTTTGAACAAGATGTGATATTTGGGTTACCTTAGCAAGCTCTTTATTATGAAACACAAACAATGCAAGTGGCAAAAGAATGCCAATCTTTCAAGGCTCGATCCTTTTATTGGCCGCACTCAGATAATATGTCATCTTGCAAAATCCCCCAAATGGAGAGCTTGTTCACAGAACATATTTAGGTTGCCCTTTTAAACAGGGGTACAAAAAAATGACACATCAAAGTCGCAGAGAAAGGGGTCCAGACCTCCTTCCTCCTATATCTTGCATTCCTTAGGCTCCCACCCCTTTTCCTTTGCCTTCCTCCATTTAGCCCTTTAACCTAGCATTTTGGTAAAAATTGCCCCTATTTCTCCCCTGTTCATACTTTTAAAACTCAGACATACTGCCCTTTTCTCTCCCACCCCTATTTCCCTAGCTAGGCTTCCACACTCTGTCCTTCCAGGCTTATTCTATTCTGCGAAACAAAGCAAAATGAAATCATGGGAGAGGGAGAAAAAAATGTTTATTAACCTAAACACAGTTTAAGATAACATTGACAATGTGTAAACACAGTAAACACAATAAGCATTTTTTCTCGCTCTCCCATATACGTTGTTTTGTGGAAGTAATAGTTAACGAAAAATGACAGATATTTACCTTTTACACAAAGTAGTAATTTCAATAGAGTTACTATTCTGCAAAATGGCGTTTCTTCACCTTTATTTAGCAAGTATGTCCTTTTTGTCTAAAACAAATCGTGTCCACCAATCAAATAATAAATATTTCAACGAGTCTGGGGACTTCTCATTTTATGGACCGTACTAGACCTAATTTCACAATGCAAAGTAGTAATTTTGCCAGAATTACTATTCTGCGACATGGCGTTTTTCCACCTTTATTTAGCAAATGCCCTTCTTGTCCGTTAAAAAATTGTGTCCACCAATAAATTGATTAATGTTTTGAAGGGTCTGGGCACCTCTCAATTTATTGACCGTACTAGAACTCATTTCGCAAAGTGAATTTTGCCAGAATTACTATTTTACAAAATTACGTTTTTCACCTTTATTTAGCAAATACGTCCTTTTCGTCTGGGAACTTCACATTTTATTGACCCTACTAGAACTAATTTCGCAAAGTAGTAATTTTGCCAGAATCAGCATTTTTTCATCTTTATTTAGCAAATATGCCCTTTTCGTCCGAAACAAATTGTGTCCACCAATAACATGATTACATATTTCGAAGAGTCTGGTCGCCTCTCATTTTATTGACTGTACTAGAACCCATTAATTTTCGCAAAGTAGTAATTTTGCCAGAACTTAACTATTTTGCAAAATGGATTATCCAGGCTCTTTTGTTATGCAGTGAAGTTTTTTTTGTGCCATAAAATATGTGTAATAATATAATAATAATAACGACAATTTATTATTTGTAAGGCGCAAAATAGCATTTAAATATGATCTAATGCAATCACTGCGTAAACATCAATTCCTGAAAAGTTCTGAACCCAAGACTGTGTATTTTTATAAAAAAAAGGAAGGAATTTATCGGAGAGTGGATGGAGAGGAATAACCTATCGAAATTAAAGTCTGTATTTTGAAGGTGTGCTTTAAAATTTAAAACGAATGTGCACATGGTGTGTACTCGAATGGATTCCTTTGTCCCTTTTTTTATTGCAAAAGAAACAAATACTTGTATTCTGGGTAGAATGTATTTCGTAGAGTGCTCAATGCATTTGAACAAATTTCATAGGCCGGCCGGCTAAGGCTTTAGGAGTAATCATCGATTGTTTATTATGACTGTGCTGTTTCGTATGGTCCAAATAATAGGACCACACTCATCGAAATATATATTTTGACTAAAAAAACAAAAAAACATAGATTCAGTGCAGCGTTCTTATGGAGTGTTCTATCAAAGAGGCGCTTGAGTCAATGAGAGTTTCTTCTTCCAATAGTCATTTAAAATGTATTGTTCATGTTTTATGTTTACATGTATTATCCTTCTCTCAATGAACCATTAGTGATAGAAAAATGTTTATAAAAGTTCTCAACACACGTTTTTTTGCTATCGTACAGAAATCATTATTGCTCTAAAAAAGATGTAACCAATATATCAGGTCAATCAGGAGCTCGGGGTGTGAAATTGCCTCCTTCTCCTTCTCCATGCCCAGGGTTGAGAAAAAGACCACCAGGAAAAAAAAAATCATACAACCAGAGGTAATTGCTGGGGGAGGGGCATGAGGGGCATGGTAACAGTTCAAATTGAACCATGCATAAGACTATCAAGATCCAACTTCCATTCCATGACTGCCCACACCTTGCAGGCAACACATCATTTTCAAAAGAGGTGTAGAGTCAAATAAATTCGAGCCAACGTGCTGATGAAGGCCATGGCCATAATGGCATAATCAGTTTCCTGTCACTTTTATTAGAATACCTGCCCAGTGGGAGGTGCTTGACAAAGTTTTAATGGGAAGATTCCGCCTAGAGATGAGAGAATGCAAGGGGTGACAGGCCACACATCCATACTGGTGTGAAACCTTCCGTTAACCTTTTATATTTTAGCTCTAACGAGCATGTCCTTTAGTGATTTTCCTTTCTTGTAGGAAATGATAGGTGGTTCTTTAAAAATTTGGGGAAGTAACGGTTGGTTTTGTATAAGATTCCATTTTTTCATTAAAACTTCTTTTAAAATAGACACTGAGGGCTGGCACTGTGTCACGAAAGCCAATATTTCTTTTTCCTCTTTGTTGTTGAGTTTCAGGAGTGCAGACTCCCTCTCTGTGAACTTTATATCTGATAGAAGGTTTTTTTATCATAGTTTGTGGGTAGCCTCTGTCAATCAAGCGTTGTTCGAAATTTGAAATAATTTCCTCAAACGTAGTTTTTGAGGAGTTTGCTCGTAGGATTCTCGAGGCTTCTCCTTTGACAAATCCTTTTTTAACACTCAGTGACAAAAGGTGAAAGGTGTGTATAGGCAAAATTACTACTTTGCTTTTTCTAGTACAGTCAACAATATGAGAAGTCCCCAGGCTCTTCAAAATATTTATCATGTTATTGGTGGACACAATTTGTTTCAGACGAAAAGGACATATTTGCTAAATAAAGGTGAAAAAAAGTAATTTCGCAAAATAGTGATTCTGGCAAAATTGCTACTTTGCGAAGTTCTAGTATGATCAATAAAGTGAGAGATGCCCAGACTCTTCAAAGTATTTATCATTGGACACAATTTGTCTCAGACGAAAAGGACATGTTTGCTAAATAAAGCTGAAAAAACGCCATTTTGCAAAATAGTAATTCTATTCAAATAAAGGTAAAAATCAGTCATTTTTCGTTAACTATTACTTCCAAACACATTGTCAATGAATGCTATCTTAAACTTTGTTTAGGTTAATAAGCATTTTTTCTCCCTCTCCCATATACTTTGCTTCTTTTTGTTTCGCAGAATAGAATAAGCCATCCTTTCTCCTTTAAAAGGTTCATATCAAACAGGGTCAGGGTTTGAAAGTTAAGTGCCACCACCTCAAACAACAACCAGAGATGCCAACCCTGTCAACTGAAAAAAGGAGGTTTGTGGAGCAGCATATAGCTGCGCCCATAAGTGATGAAGGCCGCGAGCCACTAGGGAGGACAAGGGCATGCTCTCCTGGGAAAAATTTAAAGATATGAGCCTCGAAGATGCCATTTCCTGCATCTTGAGATCACAGTCAAGAGAAAATAGTGGAGTTTTTAACAGGCAGTGGAGGCTAAGGCCTGTTGGTCCCTATGACATCAATGTATTACCGCGCCCAAAATTATCGCAGGCTCATGCTCGGATTGCAAGGAAAGAAAACAAAAATTACACGGACTCTACTTACAGTTGTTGAGTTGTCGTATGAAGCTACCATAACTGTTTGTCTTAAAGTTATAGTTCTCCAGTATTTTAGATGTTAAAAACTCTTCCTGATCCTCACAAATGAAGAACCCATCTCCATCCTGCGGAAGAAATGTGCATTCATTATTTTAACCGCATGTTTAATAACTGAATAAATTAATGTCAAAAATTCTCTCTACGATTCGTGTTGTTGGTTTATCGTAGCCACATCGCTTGCGACGAGGGTCTGTAATGTAGGCACATTCATTGGGACGAAGCGGTATCGTCACGTCTAAACCGACAATAACACAAAAAGTCTAAAAGTCCCTACATACCTCATTCCACCAAATTATCTCACTGTAGGCTTTATCCTCAACCATACGAAACAGTTTTACGGGAAAATATTCTTCCTCTCTGTGATTTCCTGACGCCATTCCACTGATAGTACATCGTCCAAGTAGACAGCTTTGATTTTGTCGCCTTCTTCACTGCTAAGGTAAAATAAGAACTGCTCGTGACTGTTGTTCCGTTCTAGAATCACAAACCCCAGGCTCCTTGCCGCCAAGACAAT